GAATTTTTGCTAATAATTTGACTGAAATGAGCAAAGTCGTAAATGATTTATATATTATACAACTAATTAAGGCAACGGAGTTTGAAGAATTTTCACATCTAGCAAGACTTCATAAGAACGCAAAAGGCGATACAAAGAAACCAATAACAGACCAAATCGCCCAAATGTATGGCGACTTAGTTTATTACAAATTTATCGCCAAACCCCAACAAGTAATAGGAGCAACTACCAAAAAGATGGCAAAACCTCCAAGTCGAGCAACAGGAAGCGGTGAAAGTTAATAATAATAATATAAGTATATTTAATGATAATATTAACTAAAAACATACTGAAAAGAAAGAAGCAGAAATTCAATGATAAATATGATGACGACAGTTTTTCAATACATAACCTAATGAAACCAAACACACCAACAACAATACAACCACCGAAACTGATGAAAAAGGGCATACCGAGAGAATTTGTTGACATTGCAACCAACACAGATACTATTGCTACGGCAACCAGAGAGACGCAAGAAAAGTTATACAATGATACAGACCAACCATTAAACGTGACATTTGAAGCGTTTAAGGTAAAGGAAAACCAGGACAATATGTTTCAAATAATGCTTAAAAACTTTTGGCGCAACACATACAAAAGAAATGAGCCAACAAGAACACAGGCAACACAAACATTGAAAAACCAACGCGACGCAATGGTGTCAGCCTTTACTAAAATGCTCGACAACAACAAACCGCCAGAACCACCGCCAAAGAAACCACCAGATGAGGATGACAGCGATGAAGAAGAAAAGAAGTTCAAACTGACAAAAATGATAGAAATAATGCTACACAACGGCGCTACAGTAGCAGATGTAATATTAAACTTATCACATAGCGCAATTGCAACAATAAATGTCGCAGATTTAGTTAATCAAATAACAGCGGGAAATGCACAAGGTAGCAGTAGCAATTCATCAAATGAAGCTATTAGTGTTCATAGTTCGCCACCTATTACTGTTCATAGTTCTTCATCTGAAAGTCCAACAGAAATACCAGCACCAACTGAAGACGAAGAAGAAGAAGACGGAGAAGAAAACCAACATTTCAATTTTGAAAAATTAAAATCTAAATAATATTATATATAATGGGTATTGGTCAAAGTAAAAATGATGCAAATAACAGTATGGAAGACATTAAGACTTTAAGAGTAGATGAAAAAACAAGAGCAGATACTTTAATAATAAAATATTTTCAAGAATGTGTGGCACGAATTGAGAAATTAGAAAAAGAAAAATCTGACAAATTAATATATAAACTTCCTGCTTTACAATTTTGCAATGCTTCGTTAATTTAAATTGATAATATTAAAACATAATTAATATTATTAATTGCTATCATAATCTGTCATTTTATCCTCTGGTATTGTTGTTGAAGTAGTACTACTTATATCATCTATTAAATCGTCGCGAAGCTCGCGAGCCTCTGGCGAAGCGTCTTCATCAACAAAATTATATTGAAATCTTAATAATTCCTCGTCTGTTGCCCTTCTTTTCAATACCTTATAAAGTTTATGTATCCAAGAATTAGTATGAAAATTATAATTACCTCTACGATAAAATCCACCACATCTACATAGTTTCATTGGCATATTATGATATTATATTAAGTTAGAATATCTTTATTCATCATTTGTAATTTGAAATGCCTGTTCAAAATTGATATGAAACATTTTGTTAATGTCTTTAGCATTCATATTCACGTAGAAAAAAGAATATGGAGCAAAATTCACTGCTTGATGATACATATCTAATAATTGCTGTTTGTCAACAATGGCGCTATTTTCTTCAATAAAACTCATTAATTCACTTGCATTTTTCAACCTAAAATATATAATGAACTGGCATTCAAACGAATGATAGGCGCCAAAACATTGTATTTTTGTGTTGAACAAATCACACTTACTGCATCGTGCCTACCTCTTGTAAATAATCCATGTAATAATTTACTATATCTAACAAATTTAGGGTCGTCTGCGTGGTCATCTATCACAATTAATATTGAATGCAGTTTCTTTATCTTTTTAGATTTCATATAATTAATTATTTTCTTCTGTCTTTCAATTACATTTTCTAAATCACTTGGATTATAATTATCAAAATATATTTGTTCTTTTTCATCATCCACGTGCAATTCATCCCTGATATATTTTTTTAACTTCTGTAAAGGTTGGGTCATTATGAACGCTGGGGGAAAATATAAATATTCTTGCAAATGAATTTCTATAAACATTTAAGATAAGGTTCTGAACCAAGACTGTTTTGCCACCTGTCGAACTCGCAACTATAATACTTCTAAATGGTAATTTTGGCACGTGCTCATATTTAGATTGTTTGAATTCATATTCAGTTATGTTTATTGGTTTTATTATTGGAACATCTGTCATAGTTGATATTAAAGATATATAGAAAATAATTTAATATTATTTATTGTATGAAAGCATTGCTATGATATGAATGGTGTCTATCGTAGTAGAACAGGCTCTTTCATCAACTTCAATCAATAAGCATTGAAGCTAATTAGTTTGATGCATTGTAAAGAAAACCCCAAGTGCTGTGCCCTCCGAATATTCTATCATGCATGAAAATAATAAGATTAAATAAATATTTTATCTTATTATTTATATGACTATTATCCATTGCAGTTGTGGTAAAACTTATGATGACAAATATTTATTTAAACATCTAAATTCAAAATATCATCAGAAAATTGTAGAATATAGATGGAATAAAGACGATACAATGAAAAAACTTTACAAGAAAAGAAAGACAGAAATGAAAAAATAATTTATCATATTATTTAATATGAAAAGGAGTTATACAGATTATATTAATATAATAGATGAAATGGAGAATATAGAACAAGTACTAATAACTGATAATAGATGTAAAAAAATACGTTATTTTATTTTAGAATTAATTAAGTTTTTGATACAATATATTAAAAATATAAATGCTAATATAAATGGGAAAAAAGAAAAAAAGTAAAGACAAAGAAAGACCAATACCAGATATTGAAGCACGGAAAGAAACAGCAGAAAGTGTTAAATCACTAGGCGAAAGTAAGACTATAAAATGTGATAAATGTAATCACATAATGAATTTTAAAAACGAATTGACAGTAGATAAGAAAGGTGGAGTTAAAGTTAGTTGTGTCCCATGTATGTTTTCTTATAAAAAAACAGATAAAGATTTTAATATTCAGAAAAGAACAGATGGCGATATGGTTATTGAAACTAACGAACATTTGATTAATGTTAGTTTTAACAGGGGCATAAGTTAGTATTTAAAGAGTAGATTTAACATAATTGCACTTTATAAATATATAATTAAATAAATAATTATCTAAATAAATATATAGTAATGTCTGAAAATGAGAATTATACTATTAATGATTTAATGAAGAAGATAACATTAATTGGTAAAAATATTAAAACCTTAAATGATATGATTAAATCCATTGATGACAAAATGAAACCAGTTGAACGCGAACAACAAAGCAACGAAGAGAAGGAGAAAATCGAAAAGATATTTCAAGCAAAATCTATAGGAAGACCATCGGGCGACTACCCTACAAAGCAAAAGAAATACTGTGATATGTTGAATACAGGAAAAATCAAACAACCAAAGCAACAAACATTAGAGTTTTATAAAATTACAAAAAATGATGATGAAGTATATGTATTATTTGAATAATTAATATCTAAATAATTCTAATAAATGAATTTATTAGAATTATTTAGCGGAACAAAAAGCGTCGGAACCATAGCAAAGTCGCTTGGATTTAATGTAATATCATTAGACTTGAAAAATGCTGATATCAACACTGATATTTTGGAGTGGGATTACAAACAGTTTGACAGAAACCATTTTGATTTTATTTGGAGTAGTCCCCCATGCACTGAATATAGTGTAGCAAAAACTAGGGGAATTAGGAATATCGAATATGCAAATCGTATTGTCTTAAAAACTATTGAGATTATCAAATATTTCAATCCTAAATATTTTGTAATTGAAAATCCACAAACTGGATTATTAAAGCATCAGGAGTTTATGGATGAGTTTGATTTTAAAGATGTTGATTATTGTAAATATGGATTTAATTATAGAAAGAGGACTAGGCTATGGAATAACATTACAACTTGGAAACCTAGAGAATTATGTAAAAAGGATTGTGGCAACATCAGGAATAATAAACATATTGAAACCGCACAGAGACTGCCATCGGGCACCAAGGAAAATTGGGGTGACAATCCAATACTATATAAAATACCTAGTGAATTAATTTGTGAAATCTTGGTGAGTTTGACGGATTAAGGATTTTGAGTTTGGGGTTGGGCTTGAAACTTGAAATTTCTAGGTTCATCCAACGACAATACAGTAAAAAATAGGAATTCTAAAAAATGAAAATATTAATTTTTAAGGGGATAATCCATAGTTTATCAAATTTAGAAAACACCAATATTCATATAGATATATCAGGAAACTCCCACCAATTGCCAAACAGGGCACAAAAAAAATTGGCGAGAGTTTCCCCTTATATTATATATATATACCCCGCCCCAGAAAAAAAAACCCTCCCGACCAAGTCCTTACCTAGTAGGGCACGGTCTCGTGGGCGAAGAAGACGCTGAAGATACCTGCACGGAGGCAAGTCGCGTGGTGAAGCAAACTAAAAACACTTGATAAAGGCGGTAGCCTACACCCCTACACCCCCAAAAGGTGGTAGCCTACACCCCTACACCCCCAAAAGGTGGTAGCCTACACCCCTACACCCCCAAAAGGTGGTAGCCTACACCCCTACACCCCCAAAAGGTTCATTCAAAAGAGTGGCAAGCGCAAAATGCAGGCAGTCAAAACTACTTTCTTCACGCGTGCCATCTGGTGAATGCCTTCCAGAGAAAATGCTCACAGGGTCGTGCTGTCCAGCAACCACAAGTGAAGCCTCAAAATTTGCTCATCACATCGCAGCGCAATTTGGCGACTGCTCCACAGAAGTAGGAGCTCCAGCATCGGTCAAAATCACCCGACGCTTTTGCTCATCAACGATGTCAGAAACAAAGCGTTTGTTCTCAAAACGAGCCTCTGAACCATGGAAGAAATGATATTTCTCGGCATAACAGCCCATCAGGTATGCCATCATCTCACCATGCACCGAGGCAAGAGCCTTTGCCGATGCGCCCAATGTCTCCAAGGAAGGAAAGAGCATTGTAGTGGCAATGGCAATTCGGCTCTCGCTGACGTCATCCTTGCCTTCGTACTTTTTCTCCATCATGTTCTTCAACTCCACCAAGGTGGTGTCATTGGCGTTCCTCAATGCCAACTTCACTATGTCTCGCCCTTCACCAACCATAAGCTGAACTGCTTCCAGCTTGTCCTTCTGAGCCGTGACAAAGCGTTGGAAGTCATCAGGGAAGGCGTGAAGGTCAAAGGTCTCATCTCCCTTGGTGGCGAAAGCCTTCGCCTTGGTTTTGAGCACTTGGAGCGCCTGATGCTTGGAGACATGCTTTCTCACCAGCCCACCGCCCTTGAGCTTGAAGTGGATGAGCACCTCCAACCTGCCATAGTGAGCATAGCTCTTCAAGGTCTGGTCATCCTGCAACTCTTGGTAGTTGGACATCAGCTTGAAGTCCGTCGTGTCAAGCTCAAGCTTGTTCATCTGACCATGCTGCTTCTCCTGCGTCTTCTGCACGAACCACTCCTTGAACTCCAAAACCGTCATAGCTGGGCGGAAAGGGCGCTCAAAGATGTTGCGACCCTTGCATGGCTCTCTCATGGATACCTGAATGAGCTCAATCTCCTCACTGTCCAAGTCCCAAGGGTCATCCAAGTAGGCTTGGTCGAGGTGGGATTCATCATCGAAGAGCTGGATGAGATTCTCCACCAACTCTGGGTCACTCTCTTGGTTGGCTCTGTCATCGGCCTCCTGAGCCTCTTCCTCTGACTCCTCCTGAGCCTCTTCCTCTGACTCCTCCTGAGCCTCTTCCTCTGACTCCTCCTGAGCCTCTGTCACCATTGGTGGGGCTGGCGCCTCTGGTGCACGAAGATGCGTCATGTCCCCGTAGTTCTCCAAGAGCAACTGCCAATTGGTCAAACAATGATTGACCATCTCATCGCGAGACATTCGCAAAGGCAGATTGCGAGCCCCCTTGTGCGCAAACTTCTGCAACGTCTGCTTGTTGAGTCCGTCAAGGTCTCCAGCAGTGAGAGGATGGAAGCTCTTGCCCTCTGTGTTGATTGTGGCGCATCCCTTCACCTTGAAGATTTTGAAAGTGTGCGTGAAGTCATCGTGAACAAACACCAGCGAAGCTGATGAAGCCATGAAGCTAAGTGAAGGATGTTGGGACAACACTTGGACAAAACAGATGCTACGGTAATTATGTGTTGTTCCAATCCAATGCATAAGCCATACCCACCAACTGCGTCCACTCAAGACACCGACACTAGATGGCGCACTCACAGCATCTTGTAGAGGAAGTTCACGAAGCGCGGTGCGGGCAGGCGGTTCCCAGAAAATCACCCTTAAATCCTACAAGGCGGACCACGCCCCAAAAAAATATATGATAAAACTGATGAAACGAAGGAGGGAGTGATGTTGTTGCTGTTCTATTTCTTGTCCGGGAAATGGACAAATCGTTTTTAGACAGTTCGAATATTTTTTTGATGACAAATATTTTTTGCAATATATTTTGCAAAATTTCTTTTTTTGAAATGGATGAGGTGAGGAGATTGAGGAAATGACATTTTGAGAGGTATATGGTGAAATGAATGAGGCGAGGAGAAAGGAGAAAAGGATGGCGAAAATTTTGGAAAAATGATGATAAAAAAACGGATGAGATGGACAGAAAGGAATGTAGAAAAATGATGAAAACAAATAAGGGTAGAAGATGGAAGATGAAAAAAAATGTAGGGTGGGGGGTATGTATGAAGCAATTTATTTGCGGGGCGTGGCCCTCCACTACTGGCTCACCCGCATCCAGACCGTGTTTCGCAATGCCCTGGCCCTGTGCCAAGCAGCGCACCTGTCGAACCTCAAGGCCTTCGACAAGAAGATAGCCGACCTGTGTCTCACACAGCCAGACTAGGCCTTTGTACGGTGAATACCCAAGAGCTTTTGTCGGCTGATCGCAAGCTCTGGGCAGCCATATCCGACCTTCTAGGGCAGCAATGGTCCCTGGATGATGCCTTGTACGAGCTGACGCACATGAGAAACGATGTGCGCAGCCTCTTACAGCTGCGCCCAAAAATATCCAAGCCATCCGTGCCAGCACCGCCACGCCCCGCAACACCACGGCAGAGGGGATCCAGGCGCGCGCGACCTTAAGCCAGCCCGCGTGCCTTCACGCCCCACCAAGAAAGGCAAGGGGAAATCCAAAGGAGCCACGCCATCGCCAAAGCCCAAAGCAGAGCGGCGCACTACCTATAAAGGGCGCGAGGTCTGCCGGCGCTACCAGACGGGCATTTGCACCAACGACCAGTGCCATTTCGCCCACATGTGCGCCATAGTGGGCTGCCAGCAAAAGCACCCCGCCATGGACCACAACAAACACACGTGAAACAGCCCAGATCTTGGACCGGCCGGCCTTGCCCCACAGCGGGCCTCATGCGCCGTTTTCACCATTGCATATGCTGGTGGAAGCTGCCCTGACTCCAGCCTTGCCCTACGCGCGCCGTAACGAGCCAGGCGCGTCGCCAAGGCCACGCCCGCCCAGGCAAGCTCATCGGAATCACCGTTGCATTCAGCCTCAAAGAGGCTCTTTTTGGACGTGTTTGCAGGTAGGCTGCACCCAGTGACCTTGACTGCTTTGAGCCGAGACACTGCGCACGACATCCTGGATAACGTAGTCTTCGAGGCCCTTCTCAGACTCTGTTGGTCAGGAATCGTGGCCCTAATAATGCTTGCCCCGCCTTGCAAGGAATATTCCAGACTCAAACTACGCCCTGGCTGGCCCAAAGCCTTGAGAACGCCGCAGTACATAAACGGGTCCCCGGCCTTTCGCCTTTGCGTAAGAAACTGCTGGATAGCAAGACCAGCCATGTCCTGGCTGGAAGAGGCTTTCTTCCAAATGCTACGCGATCACCAAATGCCCTGGTGTGGGTAGACGCCTGCAGGCACAATAAAGCCTTCTCCAAATCGTGGGCGTTCGGCTGCAACAATACTCAGGGCCTGAAGGCCCGTTGCAATCACTCATACAAGCACCGAAGCATTGCAGGCGTGAAAGAACAAGGGGTATACCTCAGCACTCTGACCGCTGAATACCCGCCTTCCCTGGCCATCACACTGGCGCCTTGCAGGCTCCCGACCTGCGACGGAGCAGGAATGCACTCTTCCGCAGACTGGTGCTGTCCCAAGCCAGCTGCAAGCAGTCGCCAGGCCCTGGCTGCGTTGGATGCGAATCCTGGCGCACGAGCAGGACTGCCCCCTCTCGCCGTCCGAAAGCCTGGAGCTTACACGGCTCCAAAATTGCTCTGCCCTCCGGACATGAGCCCCGAGGCAGGGCAGCCGTACAGACTCCACCTGCTGCAGGCCTTGGCCAACTCTTGGGGCCCAAACATGGCCCTGCTGCGATTTCTGCAACACGGGGTGCCGACAGGAGCCGTGTCAGCCTTGCCACCCAGCCTTCAATGGCCGGCAATTGCCGTAGGCAAACTAAATGTCGTTTTTGCAGAAGGGAAAGAGCCGCGCCTTGTCCTGAACAGCACCGTGTGCCAAGTGAATACCAGATGCCATCTACCAGAGCGCCTGAGCCTGCCAATGGCATCGGACCTGGCGCTGTCCACAAGCCGGAGGACACTCCAGGCGCCTTCGTGGGCGCCAGCACTTCAAAGCCGCACACAAACAGGCGCAGGTCCGCCCTGAAGCATGGCCTTCTCTATTCGCCTTTCAAGGAAAACGGAAACACTCTAGAGTGCGCCATTTCGGGGGCCGTTTCTCGGCATTCTGGTGGCAGCGCACTGGCGCTTTTTTACTTCGCCAGGCGCATGGGTTGCTGGCTTGGAAGCCCCACAAAGCCTTACCTTGCGCACTCTTCCGAGATAGCTGCCTTGGTGGTGCTTTTCTTTTGCGCCATTGCGGCGCCAATTTCATGGAAAAATGCGCAATTCCAGGACAGCCTTGTTTGGTGCGGCTGGGAGATCAACCGACCAGGCTTGATGCATCTGTGTCTGGCCCTCTGCTTGCCTTGCCACGTCTTTCACGCATGTGCGCTGCGCTAATTCATGCATGTCTCGTTTCTACTTGGCGGCTTTTTTGCCCGTGAGAGATTTTAATTCCTCTCTATGTTTTGCTTGTGGATTTTCTGCGCCTCACTTGCGCATTTTGCTCTCTCTGCATGGCCATTTATGGGGGTTAACGAACTCATGCAATGAAGTTCAGTTCATGTATTTTGGAGTGTTTTGGTTATTGTCGTTTCGTTCGCGTGGCATCTTCTGTGTCTCACACCTGTCTCACTTCATCTTTTACATCATGTAACTAGGTTTCGTGACCGATGGCAATTGCCCCAAAGCGCGCAGGTGACAAACATATTACTTCCACAAAGCTCCGGGAGCGATAGGGTGAATCCCGTATGTCTCACGGACTCGCTGCCCGGCTTCTTCGAATTTGGGAAGTAACGCAAAAGGACGACCAGGGAAGATCAAGCTTTTTCCCACGACCGAGTACACCAGCAAGCAACCCTTGGACTCCGTGGTGCCCCTGGTGCCGTGCACCCGCGTCTTCCTTGGGAGAGTATCGTGGCGTCTTTGAGAAAATCTACATCTTCTGCCCCAGCGTCAGCATCGACGACGGCTGGATCCCCGTCAAGAAGTACATCGAGCGCGAGCAGGCCTACTGGGACGAGAGGGGACGAGGCGGCGCTGTGGCGCATCATCCTGCAGCAGCGCAAGATCACCGAGACGTCCAAGAAGGTGGAGACGAAGAAGCTGTTCCAGGTCCTGATTATAATCGATGAAGCGCGACGGAACTTTTCCACATGCGCAAGAACCGAACATTTCTTCCCGTAAAAGATGCGTTTTGTGTTCCTGTGTTGCTTTTTCTTCCTTTCGTCAGAAAATTCCAAAAAATGCACAAAGCACATTCATCTTCAAAATTGTCATTTTTTCACTTCGTTGGACCCGTGAAACTAAACCCGAACAAAATTTGCATTTTCTTTGTTTCTTTCTTTCATTTTTCTTTTGCATGTTTTGCAAAGTAATAAGAGAAAACGAACATTTGCTAGATTACAAGCCAGTCCGATGCGTTTCACAAGCCAGTCCAACAACTCTCACAATGCAGTCTGAAACCACAAGTTGTTCTAAGGCTTCACAAATCAGTTTGATCCTTCCAATTCTTACAACGCAGTCTGAGTACTCTCCGCAAATTGAGTGCAGACCGCTCCGCCTGGGATGTACGAGGCTTGAGTTGAACACGTATGTTGCTCATTTGCATCCCAGAGCCCGCACCACTGAGCAACGCATTGAAAAAGACGTTTCCGCCACAGGCTTCTTCATCTGATTTGTGTTGATTGGTTAAATGATGAACTTGATTCGATTTGATTTCATTTGATTCGCTTGCATTTGCTTGATGTTGATTGGGTGGTTGGTTGGTTGGTTGGTTGGTTGGCTGGCTGGCTGGCTGATTGGTTGGTTGGTTGATTGGTTGGTTGGTTGATTTGATTGATTGGTTGATTGATTATTTGGCTTGAGTTAAATTAAGGCGCATTGAGTTCAGTTGAGTTGAACTGTCTTGAATTCAGTTGATTTGCGTTGACTTCAGTTGAATGAAACTAACGTTGAGTTGGGTTGATTTGATTTGATGCGAATTGGTTTGAGCGGATTTGAGCTGAATTGGTTTGAGTTCAGTTGATTTCAGCTGAGTTGAGTTGATTTGATGTGAGTTGATTTGAGTTAGACGAGTTGGATGTATTTTGAATTGGGTTGAGTCAAATTGAGTCGAGTTGGTTTGATTTGAATTGAACTAAGCCAAATCGAATTGACTTGAGTTTATTTGATGTGAGTTGATTTGAGTTAGACGAATTTAATTGAATTGAGTTGATTTGAGTTGAGTTGAGTTAAACCGAGTTGAGTTGGTTTGATTTGAGTTAAATCAAATCGAATTTCGAATTGACTTGATTTGATTTGAGTAGACTGAAATTGAGTCGAGCTGGGTTGGTTTGAGTTGAGTTGTGGATTTGATGTGAGTTGATTTGAGTGGACGAGTTGAGTTGATTTGGGTTGAGTTTAGTTAGGTCGAGTTGAGTTGATTTAACTTGAGTTAAGTTCAGTTAAATCAAGTCGAATTGAGTTGATTTGAGTTGAGTTGAGCTAAGTCGAGTTAAGTTTAGCTGAGTTAATTTGAGTTGAGCTAATTTGAGTTGGTTTGAATTTAGTTGATTTGAGTTGAGTTGAGTTGATTTGATGCGAGTTGATTTGAGTGGACGTGTTGAGTTGATTTGGGTTGAGTTCAGCTAAGTCGAGTTCAATTGATTTAACTTGAGTTGAATTGAGTTAAGTCAAGTCGAATTGAGTTGATTTGAGTTGAATTGAGTTGAGTTCAGTTTATTTGAGTTGAGCTAAGTTGAGTTGATTTGAGTTGATTTGAGTTGAGTTAAGTTAAGTCGAGTTGGGTTGATGTGAGTTGAGTTGAGTTCAGTCGAGTTGAGTTGAGCCAACTAGGACCAACATGAGAAAATACTAAGACCAACCTGACCCAAATGTCCGGCGCAAGTGACCCCCGACCCCCCTTGGCACACAGGTGCGTTTCTGAATCAATGAGCCAGCCGGTTGATTTCGCGACAAACAAGCTCAGACACGCGTTTGATGGTCGACTTGAGAATCTTTCCTTCGGCGCCAAGTGACATGTGGGAAAATGGCGTATGGTCTCCGAATGCTCCGAATGCTTGGCAAACAGCTGAACTCCCACTGGGCCACACGTGCTGTCCTTCGCATGTGTTGCAGTGCAGAATGCCGACGTTCTCACTGGCTAAACCGTTTGGGACAACGAGCCGGCCTCTTGTGCTCCGCCGCTGTATTTTATCGGACAGCCCCAAGATTGAGGACCCCAAAGTGCGAAGTGGGCAAAGGACCGTCGTACTTTTGTTCGGATCAGACGTGCTTCTTGTTGGATCAACACATTGTTTCTTGGCATCAGGCATCCAGATTGTTACGCTTCGATCAGCACACAAGACCAAACTGCCAAGCGCGACTAGCGCGCAGACACAGATCCATCTGGTTCAGGGGATGGGATCGCCGGCAGTCCAACCGCCACCGCGATGGAGGAGACGGGCTTTGAGCAAAGAGTTGATTTGAAATAGGGACAGACTGCGCCAAGCGGACCTTTTTGCGTCTTCGTTGATGCTTCGATCAATTCGCCGATGTGTTTGCCCGAACTGGATAAATGCAGAGCCTATCTTGAGCCAGGAGCAGTTATAGCAACGTCTCCAACCTTGCAGCTTGCCAGATCTAGTCAACATCTGTCAAATCGAGCAGTTTTCAATGACCAGCATGTGGCAGATGCCAGGTTCGCGCAGCCGATGGCAACCTGACATGTTCGAACAGCTGAGGTGAAGCCTGAGGCAAAGGCAAAGAGCAAGGCGCGTGTTTTGAGGCGTTCGCACTGCGCTTGTCCACACGCAGCCAAACCTCGGCGGACGATTTTCATACGTATTCAGAGGAACTGACCAGCTTGGAAGTGGTTTGTTATTGTTTGTTTGCCATGCGCAAAAGCAAACTGTAGAAATGGTATTGAACCGATTGGCACGGGGCAATCCGCTCCTCGTCCTTTCAAGAGGTCATTTTCAAACGGTTTTAGCTTGTCTATGACAACTCGCCGGAGAGGTTGGTGCAAGCCAAATCCATCGGGGCATTGGCAGAGGGCACACAGGGTGAGTAGTGGCAAGGGATCACGAACAGCTTCCTGAAACAAAACTGTTCAGACGCCTGCCTGGGTCTTCGAGTCAATCTGCCAAGGTCAAGAAACAAGAGGGAGACACAGATCCACATCGTTTTCACGCATCCCCTCCAGAATAGACAAGGATCTCACAATGAGGGACCCCTCATTGATTCCCTTTTGGTTTCCCAGAAGTTCCTTGAACACTCCATGTCTTTCTGTGAGGGTCCCTTTGAATTCATCGCCTTTTGCTCCTCCAGGCCGTGGCCAAGGCCAAGGCCCGGTCAAAGGCCCGGAAGTTGAAGTTTGGGCGGAGACACCCGAAAGGTGATGCGTGATTTTTTTGGAAAAATCGGCCCATCCACGTGGTCCACGGAAACCATTTGGGGGCATTGCCAAACGGGGGGCGCCAGCAACACGCGCACGCGCCAGCAAGTCCAGATCCAGTTTCAACGACATGCTGCGCTTCTTGGAAAGGAACACGCGCGGGAGTTGTGCAGCAGGAATTGGGGGCGTAGAGGTTTGCCCATGTCGCCCAAGCCGCGCAAGTTGTGGTAGCCTCTAGACAGTCCCCTGCTAAAAGAGCAAGAGAATCATGTCTGTGGACATCGAGATGGCAGTTCCTTCTGAGTGAGGACTATTTCCGACTCTTGCAAGCAAATATTTGATTTGCAATCTGCCGCCAAGAGCAAAATCGTCATGCTTGCTGCTGGTGCTGAGCCGCGCTGAGGTATGCATTGCCCTGGGTTGTTTGTTTTGTGTCCTCACAGCTTTCCACCCCCCATGTTAGGAAGAATCTCAGTCAAGGCCAGTTAGAGTTCTCAGTCGTCAATGCCTCGGCGTGGTATCATTTTGAATTTGGCTTCGGTGAGTCGTTCCGTTTTGTCAGGGGCCTGAGGAGGGTGTGGTGCGGGCGCCCAGTGCTCCGAATATTGCCATCTTTGAGTTTCGAGGGACACGGGAAGTCACCAAAGGAGGGCCTTCCACCAGCCTCAGCTCCATCCGTTGTTACACACAGTTGCTCATGAAGAGTCTTGGTGTTTCTTTTTGTTGTCAGTGGATGCTCAGTCTTTGGATGTAGCAGGTTGGCGGGTTCCTGGAGTTCTGAATTGCAACGGTAAGAGATTGCATGTGGACGCCGATTGCCTCGCTTGATTGTTGGCCCTCTTTCAAAGACCGAACTGAAGGACCAAATCTTTTTTTGAGGGCTACTCTCTGGGGGCAATCCTGTAGCTTCACATATTCACAAACAACGAGGCACAGAAGCACTTTAGCCAGACCCTTTCATGGAATGCTGCTTTCTGGAAGGCCACCTCTGCGATTTCCGCAGAAAAAAGATATGGCTGTTGTCAAAACCAATGGTACCATTTTGCGGTACCACCCCGATTCCAGTCAATTTTAAGTGGTTGGATTGGGATGTTCGCTAAGGGTACGATTCGGATTTTGACCCATGGCGCAGCAACTTGCCACTTGCTGCGATCCGCAGCGAGGAGGCCAAGCTCAAGCCGCGCCGGAGGCCTCAGAACCATACGGGGAGGGTAGATCCGATCCGTGCTTTGTTTTGGGGACTTGTTGGGGTGTTCGTCTCCTGGATGTTGTTCGGGACTGGGGCTTCCTTGTCTTTGCGGGTCCTTGGTTGTGCTTCATCAGACTCTTTTGCCCCTGATGTCTCCCTGCTTCTATCAACCATCGCGCATGTATGACTTCAAGCTTCGTCTCAACCCAGTGAGGCTCGGATCGTGGTCCCTTGGAGTGTGTTTTTTAAGGGTAACCCTGTTCAGCTTGGTTTAGCGGAATCCAAAAGGAAGGACCGCAAACTTTTTGTGGGTCCTCCGTTTTGACAGATACATCGTCTTGTAAACAGGCTGTCGTTGAAACCCTTGTGGTTTGAGAGCCGACCTTGCTGAGGGCCGACTGCAAGGCGCGATGGCGGCTGTAGATCGACATTGGGCTTTGGACGTTAATGGGGGGGTGGACACTCTAAATGCGGGAGCTCCTCACAAGAGCACAACCTGGCTTCTAGTACCGACAATGGCAACTGCAGGCACTTGATGTACATGCCTGAGGTGTTGGTCTGCGGCGAAAAGGATCCAGAGAACATCAGCTTTTCGATCCGCTGGTGGTTTTCTGTGACAAGCGTCGGAGTGTTTGTGTTGATATACTTGGCCACTTACAAGCTCGCTACCACCTTGCAACTTGAGATGCATTCACTTGCCGCCTTGAAAGCTAGAAGTAGCAGTGTGACTCATAGCGTCCATGCAACCAAGAGCCAGCTGCCAGCTGTTGCTTGGGCTCTCATTTGAGAAGGCGGGCATCCAGCCCTGTCACTCCAGCACCGGCCGGACGCCTAGTGGGGTGTTTCGCCGGGCGGTGTGTTTGAAGCTTTTGGTGCGTTTTGTGCAGGGCTTTTTTGTTTTTGTTCGAACGCTGCCACTTGTTTGGGATCCAGTTACGGCAGATGAGGTAAGAGTGATGTGTTGCAGTTGATGTACTTGCTACTGCCATCCCAGTAAGTGCCTGTTTTGTTGATATCATTGTTGGCATGCTGCTGCTGCTGGTGCTGCTGGTGCTGCTGCTGCTGCTGCTGCTGCTGCTGCTGCTGCTGCTGCTGCTGCTGCTGCTGTTGGCATCGGGAGTTGTTTCTTTCCTTCTCAGTGGGTTGGTTACCAGCACTTTCATCAGCTGCGGCATCATCATGCTCGTCGAAGTGGCTCTGCTATTTGCCGTGCTTGTCTTGGATGTTTCTCACGGCAAACACTTTGGTTGCTTATTGATTTGGCCGACATCTTTCCTTTCTGTGCCATTCTTTTCTTTTTCACACGTTTCTGTTTGGACAATGTGTTTTCATGGGAGCTTTGGCACGTTTCGTCGGACTGCTGCAGGCTGACCCCCTGGAGAGCCGGCGCCTGTCCCGGGCCTCGCGTCCAGGGCTCCTGGCCGGCACAGCTGCGTCCCAGGCGCGCGAGGCGCGGGCCGCACGACTTGGGGTGGGGGTCGACTACAGTCTCGGGTTTGGGGGTGGTTGGTTTGGGGTGGTTTGGGGAAAGGCTTTGGTTGTTTTTATCCTCAAGGTCTCGATTCTTGAATGGAGAGGGCTGGAACTTGGCAGACGTTGGGTCCAGAAAAGAAGACGACTGGGGTCCAAAAGGAGGGGACCCGTTTTTGAAACACGAATCCATCCTGCCCCATTTTAATCGATACGCTAGCCCCAAACAGGATGCAGAGTGCTGTGATTGTTGCATCAAGAACATGGGAAGCAGACCTTTGTGCCAACGCTTCGGTGGCTAAACATATTGGGCTCACAGCTATTTCGGGAGCAAACGCATTCCCGCATGGCAAAATTGAGGAGGGTTTCTGGGCTCCCCCCAGCCTCGCGAACATGGTCAATATCCTGAAAATATTTGTGTGGTCGCTGGGAAGTTTTCGCAACCGCCAGGCTGCTCGCCAGGCGGGCTTTGCGACTGAACGTGTTGAGAGCGCGGGTGGTTGGGACTCAGACTGAGTGCTCAAGAATGACCTTGCGGCAAAGAGTACATTTCGGCACATTTCGGAGACTCAAGTTTGGCCAGAGCACATACCACATGGCCAGCACGGTGAGAAATGGCTTTCAAGAAGCTTGCTTTTGCTTGGGAAATGTTGGGAAGCCCTTGGCATGAGAGGAGATTGGGTCAAGGACAGCTTGTGGCTCATGTTGCTCGAGTCTTGCAGCTGTCAAGAGAGTTTCGTTTTGAGATCTCCTTGTGTGATCTGTAAATAGTTCTCTACTCCAAGAAGATGCAGACGCGCATGCCCGCATGCCCGCTCCAGAGACTGGGTGAATCTAAACGGTGGATAGATGTGTTTCTGCTTTGGTCGCTAGCACTTCAAAGCAGCCAAGGGAACATGGCCAAAGTGTCGCGAGTGAGGATTCCTGCCTGTGGCCGGTGGACAAAAGCGCGCACATACATCTCCTTGCACCACTTCAGGAGCATTTTGCAAAATCCACTGCAGTCTGTAGAGATCTTGTGCACAAAGGTCAATTTGGGGTTCAGAGTATCTTTCATTTTGTTGCATAGCTGCGTGTTCCGCTGATTCAGTTTGGACACCAGGCGCCGCGCCTGTCCGAGCGCTCGCTGGAGAGGAGGAGTTGTTTTTTTTGGGCGGCAGGGGCAGTGGGGCTTTTCTAGATTGAGGCTCGGCTTGCTCGCGATTGGCACAGCCTTGTATAGTTCTAAGAAAACTGTGAGATGTCAAGGTTTGCAACACAAGCCCAAAGATTATGCCAAGAGCAATTTCAGGCCATCTCCGTGTATTAATTTGCGGCCTCCCTGGGTGAAAGAACCCTTGCCAGGCTTGCGGGTGCCGAATGGGACATGTTGCGTGGCACTCTATGGCTTTGAACGCCTCACCCTGAGCCACAACAGATCCTTCAACTCTGAGTCTGCTGACTGCTATGCATCCTCCTGTCGCTCAAACCAGGGCATCAAGCCGCTGTCGTCTTCGGCTGCAGCGGACGTCCCAGTCAGCAGTAGCCCGACAAGTGGTTTGTAAGCTCTTTCCGTCTGGCGCGCAGATGATTCAGTCTGCAACTGCACACGTAGACATGTCAACAGAGTCCAGACCATTTGTTGTCCTCGATCATTGGCTGCTCAAAATGCTCCTTGCAAGCATCAGTCATACGCAAACTTGTGCTGCGGAAGAGGGTGCTTGCAAACCAACTGCAATGTATCTTACATCATCTTCCACGTGTCGGCTGGGAGGTTGTCAAAGTCTGGCCACCTTTTGCCCAGCAACGTCCGGCCAGCTCGCCAGGACACCGCAGGGCCGCGAGCGGCAGGCAGGGTTTCTGTGGGCTTCGTGGCGAAATGACTGGGACTTGTCTTGGATAGTGTTGGCCCTTAAGAAAAGGGGGTTCAAAGAAAGGGACGGGGGTCAAACAAAATGTGCCTCGGTGGTTTCCCACGCAGCAGCAGGTGAGGGAGGCATGTTGCTGGACAAACTACTCTTAGATGGTCTTCAAAAGTAGGCAAGCCTCTAAAAAGGCAAATGCTAAGACTGGGTGGTGGTGACTCTTTTGTTGTGAGTTTTTTCGATTTTTGAGGCAAGCTTTTGCCCTCATGGCCATTGCCTTCCACATGTGTTTCTTGCGCAGGTCCGATGGTTTTGGCGAGGATTTGCATGCAAACCCCCAGGTGCCAACATGACTAGCTAAGAAGGACTACCTTGTTCGCTTTGATGCATATGTGCCTCCGCCATAATTTTTGTCAGGTGAACGGCAGCCAAAAGAACAAGGAGGCCTGAGCTTATGATGCTCATACTCGTTTGTTGAGCGTCTTTCTCTTGCATGAGTCACAATGTTGCCTGTACGTTGCTTGCAGGGCCTGTTCTTCTTCCTCAAATGATTTTTTTTGCATAGCTACGTTGTATTGCTCGGAGCACTGCACTGCAAACATGGTGCTGCTTAAGCTGGAGGCATTTCGAAGGAGCAGCTGCAGTGGGCTGCCAACCAAACCCCCTGCTAAATTACCGTCCAAATTACTGTATTGTTGGCAGAGCTCAATGTTGAGAAATCTGACTTGTCTTCCATTGGCACGTGCAGCACCTCCTCTTTGGACCCTGAAGAACCCACTGACCCATTCTAGACCGGCCTGCCATTTTTCCGCTCATCGTGGAAGCGGAGTTTCGGGGAAACCCCTTGCGAACAGAATGGGTTTCGTTTTCTACTCTCTTCAATCTTTTTCAAGTTCGGAAAAAAAAGGAAACAAAGAAAAGAACAAAAAAGAACCCCCCCCCCCCAAAGAAAAAAAACAAAAAGAAGCACAAAAAACAACTGGGTCAGGGTGCCTGCAGGCCGTCCAGGCGCTCCGGCGGCTGGTTGACCTAAAGGATGTGCTGGCGAAGGAGTCAGGGAGTGGGCCAAGGGCTTCGTTGATTCATGGCAGGTACCCTGCGGCTTTGGAGGTTTTGGATTCCTCTGGGCGCACTCTGGCGAGGCGAAAGCAAGCAGTTTAGCCCATGAAGAGGAGCCTGATGATGGGGACATTCACCAAAGATGCAAGAGCATGTTCCACCTCCACAGATACGTCCAAGATGTGGAGAATGGCCTTTCTGTTGGAATACGCATAGTCGGCTGATTTCAGTGTCCATTTCATTGTTGTGTATGAGGGAATGGGAATTTGCCTTTTGCTGCATTTTTTGGGGCTCTATCATATTTGTGTTTCTATTTGTCGATCTTGAAGGCAAAAAAGAGAGAGAGAGAGAGAGAGAGAGAGAGAGAGAGAGAGACAGAGAGAGAGAGAGAGAGAGAGAGAAAGGCTTGTGATCACCCGTGATCTTGAGAAGCCTTTCTCTCACCTCGCTCGTTTGGACACGGCGTCCCGTATGGCCCCATTAGTGCAGTCCAACGAGCTTGCAGAGGAGGCAACCCTCTTGGAGGCTGAGCATGGTGGGGTCCGTGGTGGATGCAGGCGGTTCTTCAGACGCCAAACGCCTCTAAGGAAGACATTGAGGAGGCGAAAAACTGGACAGGTCAGCGTCTTTTGACCCTCCGACTCTGCGAGTCACCGAGAGACCGAGAGCCACGGCTTTGTTGTTTGCCCACCGCCAGGCGCCATAGATGCGAAGCCGCAGCATGCATTGCGGCTGCAATTGAATGTTTGCGGAGCACAGTTTGGCCAGCTGCAGCCATTCCCAGTCCCCTGGCCTCCAATGTTCTCTGCTCATATCTTTTTGGAGCAATGCTAAGAAAACATGTTGTTGGTTTCATAGGCGCCACGCATCAAGTTTTCGTGGACACTGCAATGATCGCTGCGCCGCTCCATCTATGCCAAAACGGAAAGCGAGCGCGGTCGCAGACCCAGAAAAGCCGTCGAAGTCCTACGCGATGCAGAAGGCCAGCGAGTTGACCACGCCAGCAGATGCGTTTCGAAAGGCCGTCGCAGTAGGAATTCAGCCGACCGCGCGCGGTACGCCGACACCGTGCTACCAACGTCAAGCAAGTGAGAGCACATGCCAGTGCCATTGTTTTGCAGCGGATGCTCAATTAGACCGTTGCCAACTGTGTGTGTGTTAAACATCCCACAAAGACCGTCGAAATGAGAGAGGAGCTCTCAGAAAAGAATTCCAACGCAGTTGTTGGGTTGATTTCGCGCAGAGACTTTGGGATGAGCAGGTTGCACGCAGTTTCCTTGAGCCCTTCTGGTGGAGAGAAGGCTTGAGGTATGTTTCATGCGTATTTTTTTGGGGTCCGGTGAACCTAAGGGCTGGGCGAGGCACGAGCTCCCTTGGCGCCAGGGCGGCAAAACGAGAGCGAGACAGGTGCCGCAAAAACAACTTCTCGCGCAAGGTCTTGCGCTTGCGTCGTGGCGCAGATGAGACGGCTTACCGTCCTTGCTGCTCTCCCTGGCCACCGTGATTAACCCCTAACGTGCGCGCAATACAACACGTTGGCAATAGTCAGCTTGGCGCCTGGTTGGTCTAGGAATGGATTGTGCAACCAACTCAAAAGCCAAAGTGGGACACTAGATGAGAAGGACTAAGATGGTCTACTTTGAAAGTGGGCTTGTGGTTGCGATGCGCGCGGACGCAAATCCCTGCCACCAACGACCCTGACAGCCCCATTGATGTATTGAGAACCAGACAAAAGGTTGCCATGCAAGGAAATCGATTTTCTAGTATGTTTCTTGCGCGATGTTTGAGGAAGGGGCAGCCCAGATGAGTCGTATCACGTGTTACGAAGCAAGTAAGTATCCATGCTGTGTAACTGTTGTGCTTTTCGGCCATGACACTTGATTGGTTCCGCTTCACCCTAGAACTGTCGCTTCCCAACATCTTGTCAACAATTCCGTCTTGGTTTGAGTACATGCAACGCAAACGCATGCTCAAAACACCGTGTTTCGGATTCTTTTGGCTTTGTGTTTTGGCGGTGCAACCCCACCAGTTTGCAACCCCAGTTGTTTGCAAACACCGACCAAATCGCCAGGAGGCACTTTCTGCGCCGAAGCCGCTGATCCCCGAGAGCCCACTGCGAGGAGAGAGTCGAGCGGCGCCTGTCAACAAAAAGCAATACCGTGGATTGCAAGCATGCTTGAGATTGGGAAGGGCGCCTTGCATGCCTGTGGCTGTCTGACCAGCACACAACGCATAAGTATCGATAAACGGCGTCTTTATTTTTAACCCTGCCAGTATTGTCTGCCGTTTGGCTTTCCTATCATGTCGGGATTCCATGATGGGCTTTCTTGGGCTTCCTTGCGCCGTGCTGCGTTGTTGCCTGGTGAGGAAGCTCAGTCCTGGTGCACAACATCGCCGAGATAACGGTTGATGACTTGGCAGGAGACAGGGAATGTCGGAAAAGGATTTTCCCGTCCTTGGATGGTTCGTTGCACTATCTTCATAATTCGCTCTCTTGCATAGTCACTTCGAGATGTTTGGATTTTCAGGTTGCTTGATGGGAAGCACAGAACATGCCATCCACTTTTGGCTGCCTTGAGGATGTTTGTTCAAGTATTTGGGCCTTGTTCTTCGCAAGTCTGCCTTTCACGTTCTTTGGTTGGTCAAGCGCGTTCTCCTGAGGCGTGAAACCCGTCTAGTCTTCAACCAGCTTCTGGGCCAAGGGTGGGGAGTCTCTGGTGGTTTCCTCCGTTTCGTGTCCACGTTCCAAATTTTGTCCCGTGAGGACAGGAAGCTGCAAGCACGGCCTGCAGCCCCAGCCGGGGGGCCCAGGATTTGCAGAACATGTCGGCTCATCTCTGGTGTCTCTAGCCTAAATATCATCGAGGCAGTTTTTTTCGTCTTTGGTTCCACGTTACCCAGGTGTCATTTTTGGGATTCCATTTTTTGGATCCACGGCCCATGTGTGCGAATCGCGAAGTCGCCAGGCCTCTATAGCTTGGGCGGTGCCGCTGCTAGCTCCACCGCGGAAGAGCGGATGCGCCAGGCCCGGGTGTCACGTGTAGCCGTCCGGTGGACTCGAGCTTTGCGACTATCCGAAAATTCCCATTTTTTTGTTGGCCAAACTACTAAGAACAAAAGCAGGACTAAGCAAACATGATTCGGCTACAGGCTGTTATTCTTGTTTGCAAATTTTTGTTCTACAGTGTTGCAGCCTGGCTGCAGTCTTCTAGCCCTGTGGACTTCTTTTTCGTTTTTTTCCGTACTTATTATTTTCCCCGCCAGTGCCAGCATGTAGAAGCATTTTCAAGCAGGACAGCAGTGGTTTCTATTTCTTTGTTAGATTAGTCAGACGCAATCACGTTGTTTGTTGAAGGCTGGTTGATTCGTTTGTTTGTTGGCTGGTCGGTTGGTCGGTTGGGTGGGTTGCCCCAGCAGTGCCAGCATCATTTTGGTTTAGGAGATGAAAGGAGCATCAAGAAGCAACTTGGAAAATGACATTCACAAACAGCTCATTCTGAGTGATGGAACATCAGTTGAAGAAAGGAAGTTTCTGCTTGGGTAGGGGAAGCAACGTGAATGCGGAGGAAATGGCTGTCAGAGTCTTTTTATCATATTTGTAACCAACAGAGCAAGCAAGGAACACTCAGTCACCACTCTTTTTGGGAGCACGGGGCAACTTAACTCAGTCCGTACTTGTTTGCTCCTCCTTTATGGAATCGATCTTCCTTTCTTGATTTGAATTGCCTTCCAGCTTCCTGTTCATGGCTGATGTTCCTCTGCCAAAATGATCCTGACGTTCCAACTTGTTCTTGTCCAATTGATTGTTTCGTCAACTACACTCATTTGACACACACGGAGGAGGCAACAGAGAAGGATCAAGCAGAGGGACAGGGACAAACAAAGAGACACAGATAGTCCAGAGGTTGGTTCACTTCAACTTTGAGCTGGGCAGTTCTTTCCGTTACGCCTTAACGATTTACTTGATATTGCCTTCACAAGAATTCAACATATATGGAACTTAACATGGTGTCCTTTGAAAAAATATTTTGTCGTGTATGGGTTGTCAGATTCCATGTCAGCATGTTCCAGAGGCCATGGGTTCTTGTTGGCAGGGGGCTTCTGGAAAGTGGAAAAGCAAGGAGAAGCAAGGAGCGATGTTTGTGCTCCGTATTTGAAGAGGTTGGACCAGACTATCCCTTGGATCCCAATCCTGAAAACTATACATCTTCGTTCTTCATCACATGGCCCAAACTGAGCGCTGTCCAAGCAGGGTCAGGGTGGTCTTCCACCCTTCTCAGGCACGGTTTCTGTATGGCTGCATATCCGCGATGCCTGCAATGCCGGCCAGCTCATGCTCGAGAACCAAGCTCTCCGAGAGGCCTTCGGAGACACCCAGAAGAGGCCCAGCGGACTTCGTGGGACATGCTTTCGGAAGCTTGCAAAGGTGGAAATGCGCTCGGGACAGAACACAGGAATCTCTATCGAGGGTTCATTTCCGCACACCCCGTTTGCATGAGGTTCACCTCTCTTTTTGCACTTTGCCTGTTCCACGCGGTTCCTCTGACCTCGGCTCTTCCGCAAGGCTTATGGAACTCGAGGATGAGCGGCAATGCTTCCTGGATGAGGGAGTTTACGACGTGGTGAACTCGATTTGTGGCTCCTTGGCCTGTCTGTTGAAGCAACAGGGGAGCAACACATTTGATATTTTGATGCTGAGATATAAAGCCCAGCAGTCGGCTCACGAGGCAGTCTGCCAAGGTGGCTAGCCTGCCAACCAGATGCCTTCCAATATTCCAGCATTTGGACCTGGGCCTTGTCTTATTCGAGAAGACTGCACCGCTATCCTACTTCCATCGCGTGTTTCTCGGGATGGCATTTTCTTTCGCGCTCATGCAAGTGCATGCCCAACGGGGAGGGGGAAGGCGTTTTTTCACTTCCAGGTGATTTTTCCGTCAAACACGCCTTGCAGAGACGTCGCCAGCTTGAATTGCGCATGTCAGGCCAGACGGGCCTGTCACCAAGCAAGTCCTGCCTGATGGGCGATGCGGATGCTGCAAAGCCCAAAGGCGGGGTCTGCGGGTGGTGCAGTTGCCATCGTGGCAAGGATCGAGGATGCTTGAGGTCAAAAGTTGAATTAATTTTCGCACATTTGAAGGGTGCACTAATCCAGGGCGGTTCCTTGGCTGGGGAATTGAGTGTTTCTTTGGGATCCCTGTCTGTAGTATCGTCGACGCGTCACTGTATGCGTATATAAGTATATATATATATATATGGTAATATATGGTACCCCCCCATGGATCTACCTTCCTTTGGAAATCACGGATATGTGCAGTGTTTTCTGCCTTTTTTGGGGCTAGGAGGAAAGCAGCAAAAAAGGCGCATTTCCAAGGACAATCTGAAAGCCTTAGGCCAAACTTTTCCAGGAAATCTTGAATCCAGTTTGAATCTACCTCTGTCCTGTTTCTTTTCGGGGTTTTGTTAGAAAATTCAAAACAACAGCTATGTTGGAGCCAATGGCCCAAAAGTGAACACGTACAGAACGACCCGAAAGTAAACAAGTAAAAAAGTAAGAATGTGGAGCCAATGACCCAAAAGTAAGAAATCAAACAAGTAAAAAAAGTAAAAACGTTAAAAAAAAAAAACAAAAAAAACACGCAGCAAACACCTGGAGCCAATGACCCAAAAGCAAAAACGTAAAAAGTAAAAGACTAAAACATATCTCGCCAATGACCCAAATATAAAGAGGTAAGGAAGTAAAAAACAAAACAAAACCAACAACAAAAAACCACAAAAAAAAGAGCAGTAAAACAGTAAGATAGTAACATGTCTCGGACCATGGTCAGAGCATGTTACTTGAGAACCACGGGCTTCTTTTCTTTTTTTTTGGGTACTTTGTCTTTTTACTTCTGTATTTTTGACACCATAAAGTTTTACTCTATCCGACTTGTGGGTCATTGGCTCCAGTTTTGTGTTTCCTTTTTTTCCTTTACTTTTTTAGTTTTGGGTCATTGGCTCCGGAACTTTACGCTTTACTTTTGGGCTATTAGCTCCATAGCTTTACATTTTCTTTCACTTTTGGGCCATTGGCTCCAACATAGCTGCTGTTTGCATCTTCTGACCATGGACAGGTTTAGGGTGTAGGGTTTTGGGTACATTGCCTCGCGTTTGTAGGACTCGGACTTATTTGTCGCAGATGTTTTCTCAAGGAGTTTCTTTGGAAACATGTTTTTTGTTCAAATAAACTCACTGTGTGTTATGGTTTCTTGCGTGGAATTCAAAGTGTTCGATAAGGATAAAAAATAAACAGCAGAATCAATTGGAATTCTGTTTCTAGGATTGTGGTTGTTCAATTTTATGAAATTAGAATGGAGTTTAATAAGGAACAAACCCCAGTAAGAGTTTCTAGTTTAAAGATACAAGTGGAGGGTGGCTTTTGTCACCCTGAGATGCCGGGAGGGAAGCAAGGGTTAGGCCGCAGCGTGTTGCAGGTCGCTCCTCTCTCTCTCTCTCTCTCTCTTTGTAGTTTAAGGATAATTCAAATAGGAACTCCTGGTCGAACAAGACTTGTAATCAACATTCTTCCTTGAAGCTAGATGTTCAAACGGGTTGAATGTTTTTGGCATAATGTCAATAACAAATAAAAAATACAAAATTCTATTATAGTTTCTACTTTTAAAGACACTTTTACATAGGTGTTCTAAAAGACTGCTTTTCATGATTGGACATCTTATTCAAAATTAGATGTTCAAAATGATGCTTTCTTTCCAAGATTATTTAGTCAATTTTCCAATTAGAATCAAACAGACACTAACAGTGAACAGCACGCAACATATTTGCTAGACTTAAAGATGATTTGAATAGGATTTCCATTTTGAGGAGCATTGTTAATTGGGATTCTTACTTGAAAACATTTTTTACACAGAACGCCCTATCCCGGGAAATTGTTTCTCCACTTTCTATCTAAAATTGAATGGAATCTAGTAAGGACATGATTCTAGTAGAATTTCTAACTTCAAAGATACGTTAAACAGGATTTCCTTTGCAACAAACACACAGAATTGGACTTGTTATTCCAAATTAGATTTTGAGGCGGATTTCCTTGCTTAGGGTGAGCTGATGCTGGTCAAGTCGCATGGGGCATTCCAAGTAAAACAACTGCATTCCATCTCCGAAATAGGCTTCAAACAGCAAAAAGGAAGATCCATCGGCGCGGGGGGGGGGGGTAGCATCTATATATATATATAGATAGCATGCAGCCTTTGATTGAGCCCGGAACATAAAACTTGCAACATCCTATTTGATTGTGGGTGTAAGAAGGGGGAGGGCAAAATTAAAGACTTGGAAGCGCTTAGTGGCATTTCTGAAGATACTCAAAGTGCACCACAGATACCCGCCTTTCCGTCCGCGCGAGAGAATAACACCAACATCCCTTTTGAAACTGGCCTCGGGTGCCATCGACGCCGTACTTCAGGTGCAGCGGGTACAATCACCTTCCACATAGGAAGGCGCCGCGGTTTGGAAGGATGGAGGGCATGTGCTCGCTGGGTGACCGAAAAGGCAAGCCACGGGATGCCGGAGAGTTGATGAACAGGATTCCCATGACTTGTGAGTTTTGTTGAAACCACAATGCCTTTGTGTTAGTGATCACACCGAGCATGACTTAACACCCTGATGATAGTGGATCCATGGGACCATTCTGGCAGTTTGGCGCAAAATGCTTATGTCGGGATGACCCCAATGCTTTCACAGCAAAGCAAACGTGATTTGCCCTGATGTGACATTTCTTGGAGCATGCAGGAAAGCAAATCCAAGTGATATCTTGTACCCAGGATAGGGCAAACTCTTTTTTTCACACTCACAACATGCTGGCCCCAAGCATCCATTTTTAAAGCACAACTCAAATAATGTTTTCCCTCCTAAACCTAAGGGTTGCTCCTCGCTAATTTGCCAAGAATTGTAGTGAAGGTTTCTACAACAAACCATGTGAGGGGGCGCTTTGCAAGCCAAGCTTTACCTGCTGGTGCCTGTCGATAATTCCCAGATTCTCCGACGCAAGTAGGTTGCAGCGGCTTAGCAAACTTTTCATTGACAGGTTCTTTCATGATTGTCAAGGTCCACGTTTGTCCAACTTTTCTGGCCAGTCACCTGTCAAACGGCACGTAGTGACTTGGCTATGGCTCCATTTTGGGGTGGATGAACATCCGTTAGCCACCAGTTTTGATGTTCATACAGGGTTTTGACAACCGCAGCCACTTGGGTTACACTAACGGGAGACGCTCTCTCGCCAGTGCCGACCCCGTGGAGCATCTGTCCTTTTGCGGCTCGCCGGTGGCCTCGCCGCCGGGGCTCCTGAGCTCGATTCGGGGATGTCCGGGTTGCGGTTGCTTTGGCTTTTCGGGGGTTGGCCTTAAAAGAAGTGCTGGTTTTGGGGGCAGGGCCTGGATGGCTCTTGTGGGTGTGAGGGTGGGGAATAAATTTAAGGGCTGCCGCCCAGTGCCGCCGACCCCTCCACTGGGGGCCAGCGCTGAAAACTGTGCCCTGCAGGTGCTTCAGCGCTTTTCCAGGCCGCACTCGTTTGCCCACAGCGAGCACCAACCAAAGGAGTGCGCCGGCAGCAGATAGGAAGAAAACCGGCCGAACGGGCTGGCCGTGACAGAGCTTCAGCGCTGAAAGCTGTGCCCAGCAGGTAGTTGAGCACTCTCGGCCTCCTCAGCTCAGGGGCAGTTGGTGTATGCGAGAGGGGCCGGGTTCAATCCCCGGCCTGTCCATGCCCATGTGCGCCTGCGTCTGTCACAGTTTGCCTATCCCTCATCTTTCTCCCTTTGGGTTTGCTGTGCGTCTTGCCAAGGGCGGCTGCTCCGCGGCCGGGTGCCGAACGTCACTTTTGAATCCTATATAGAAAGTAGAAAGCTATCGGTCCCCAGGGCGCAACCAGCAAGAACAGCTTCGCGTCCAGCGCGCTTGGAGGCCGCACTCGCTTCGCCGCAGCGAGCACGAACCAAAGGAGTGCGCCGGCAGCCTGCTCCGCCGCGGCCGGGTGCCTAACGTCGCGTTTGAGTCCAATATGCAGTAAGGCTATCGGTCCAGAGGGAGCGGCCAGCCACAAAAGCTTCGCTTCCCGCGCTTTTCCAGGCCGCACTCGTTTGTCCACAGCGAGCACCAACCAAAGGAGTGCGCCGGCAGCAGAAAGGAAAAGGAAAGAAAAGAAACGAAGAAGAACAAGAAAAAAAGAAAGAAGGCTAGTAAGGTACAGAGCTCAACGGGCGAACGGGCGAAAAAAGGGAAAGAAAGAAGGCTGGTAAGGTACAGAGCTAGGTACAGAGCTGAACGGGCGAACGGGCGAGGGCGAAAGGGAAGGGAGAAGGCTGCCACAGTCACGCTCCAACACTAAACGAACACTCCCCCAGCGCCTTCCCCTTGCAGGCAGGGGGGTCGGCGGACATGCAGTAAAGCTATGTGTCCAGAGAGAGCGGCCAGCTACAAAAGCTTCGCTTCCCGCGCTGTTCCAGGCCGCACTCGTTTGTCCACAGCGAGCACCAACCAAAGGAGTGCGCCGGCAGCAGAAAGGAAGAAAAGAGGCCGAACGGGCGGGCCCGCGCTCGTTTGCCCACAGCGAGCGCCAACCAAAGGAGCGCGCCGGCAGCAGAAAGGAAGAAAAAAGGCCGGACGGGCGGGCCGTGACAGAGCTTCAGCTGAAAACTGTGCCCTGCAGCGAACGGGTGGGCTGTGACAGAGATTCAGCGCGGAAAGCTGTGCCCAGCAGGTAGATGAGCACGGCATCACACCCGCTCAGCGTGCGAGAGGGGCCGGGTTCAATCCCCGGCCTGTCCATGCCCATGTGCGCCTGCGTCTGTCACAGTTTGCCTATCCCTGGTCTTGCCGGCAGCCTGCTCCGCCGCGGCCGGGTGCCTAACGTCGCGTTCCAGCCACAAAACCCGCGCTTTTCCAGGCCGCACTCGTTTGTCCACAGCGACCACCAACCAAAGGAGTGCGCCGGCAGCCGAAAGGACAAGGAAAGAAAAGAAACCTCTCGGCCTCCTCAGCTCAGGGGCAGTTGGTGTAGTGGCATCACACCCGCTCAGCATGCGAGAGGGACCAGGTTCAATCCCCGGCCTGTCCATGCCCATGTGCGCCTGCGTCTGTCACAGTTTGCTTATCCTTGGTCTTTCTCCCTTTGGGTTTGCTGCGTCCTGCCCCGCCGCGGCCGGGTGCCAAACGTCACTTTTGAATCCTATATAGAAAGTAGAAAGCTATCGGTCCCCAGGGCGCACCAGCAAGCACAGCTTCGCGTCCAGCGCGCTTGGAGGCCGCACTCGCTTCAGCGAGCACGAACCAAAGGAGTGCGCCGGCAGCCTGCTCCGCCGCGGCCGGGTGCCTAACGTCGCGTTTGAATCCAATATGCAGTAAGGCTATCGGTCCAGAGGGAGCGGCCAGCCACAAAAGCTTCGCTTCCCGCGCTTTTCCAGGCCGCACTTGTTTGTTCACAGCGAGCACCAACCAAAGGAGTGCGCCGGCAGCCGAAAGGAAAAGGAAAGAAAAGAAACGAAGAAGAACAAGAAAAAAGGGAAAGAAAGAAGGCTGGTAAGGTACAGGGCTGAACGGGCGAGGGCGAAAGGGAAGGGAGAAGGCTGCCACAGTCACGCTCCAACGCTAAACGAACACTCCCCCAGCGCCTTCCCCTTGCAGGCAGGGGGGTCGGCGGATAGTGGGAGGCTTGGCTGAAGTGTTTAAGAGGTCTACAATGTCAGTCCGACTTAAGAAAGGCCAGTTTTCTTCCCTTCGGGACTCTGCGCAGGAAGCTTGCATATCTACCAGGAAAATAATTGTTGCCTTGGATTTGCAGGGAACAGCAAGAGCTCCCATGCCCCACACAGAAGCTTGACGACCTGTGCACGTTCTGACACTCATTGTTCAGCTTAACAGCGCTGCTGTCAGGAATGTTTGAGCGCTTTGAGCCTTGCGACTTGCCAGGACCGTGGCCTCAATCCTTGCGCGTCGCTCGGAGCAGGATGTGAGGCACAACGATGGGGGCTGGTTCTGTCAGCCGCCTGCATGAAATGCCTCAGCTTTGCCGCAAGTTGGCTCGGATTGGTTTAGAGATTCGAGGTGCAACCAGGCAAGTTCCTGTTTCCATCAAACCACCAAGTCCGAGTGAGCAACAGGGGACTGGCAGATTTTTGGAGATGGCCAAGTTCCACAGCCGGCGAGCCGTGCGTGAATAGATCGATCAGATTCAGGATTCAGGGGTTTCGCTGGCCCCATGTCTTTGCACTCCCTTGATTACTGATTATGATGATAATGATGATGATGAAGCTGGCAAGTTTTGACTGCTCACATCGGATTCGACCGCAGAAAGGGGAGGCTTTGCTTTGGGCTTTGCCAGGTCTGCCGAGCTGAGCGGGGAGAACGAGAAGCTCCGACTCTTGGCGTTTGGTACGTTGGTCCTTCATGATGGATGTAAGTGTGGATAAGTCATCGCAAAACACAACTTACATCCCGTGGTTTTGATCTGATTTTCAGATCGGGCAATTTCCTCCAGTCCTGGGAATGTCGGGGAGTGACAAGTGCACTGGTTCTTAGTTGGGTATGGGTCAAAATGAAAATATCAGGGGACCGCAGGTTTTAGTCCTTGCTTCCATTTACCAGGGTTTCATTTTGGGTACCGATTTTTGACCCACAGCCAGTTGAGCGAAGCAAACTCAGTTGAACAATGCAAACGACTCAGGAAGGGAGCTAGAGCGCACCACCAAGATCCTGGAGGCGTCGGGCAAGCGATGCCTTTGGAATGCTGACCAGGAACATAGAACCGGACAGGAGGCCCCCTGCAAGGCCATTTCCTCAAGGGGCCTTCTTCATGATGGGCGGAAGTGTGCACAAGAGGTGCTAATCATCTGGCTGACTCAAGGCGGCCGCCCATTCTGGAAGCTGGTTCTTTTGTGGTTGCCTTTTTGCGTGTTGAGTGCTTGGTCCAACTGTGCGTCCGTTTTGGACAAGCGGGCATTCCCCGGCCCACACATGGGCAACGAAGCTTTGGAGGTCCTGGAGCAACAGAAGCACCTGGCAGTTGACAAAATGGTGGCCCTGGAGCAGGCCCAAAGCCCAAAGGGTTGTGGGGAATGGTGGGGTGTCTGGCATGTCTGTGAAATCGTGTCGCAGCTAGACATGGTCCAAAATCAAGCATACAGTTTTTGGTTGCGAGCAAAATGGGCCACGGCAGCGGGGGTTACGGCAACGTGGGGCGGAATCTTTCGACGTGCACCTTGTTCAGCGTGAGTGAGCATTTTCTGGCTCCCAATTTTTGGTTGGTTTCAAAGGCAAATCAACGCAAGCCAGCCATTTTGGGACCCTCATTTTGAGACAACCCCCCAATTAGCACATTGTCTACCCGAGGAGAGAGCTGTGCGTTGCACGTTTGTTGTTTGAGAGCTTTGCTTGCGCTCGGATTTCATTAGCGGCTAAGAACCCGAGACACTTCCTGAGTGACATGGCGAAATGCCAAGTGTCCATGGCCATGGATGCAACCAACCCCGACAAGCCAAAACAGCGCCGCCATCCGAAGTGAGCCGGCGCAAATGGCTTGGTGGGGACACCGAGCAAAGCCAAGGGAACCCGAGGGAACGGTGGGGTGGAACCAAGTTGCCAACTACTGCCAGTCCGGACCTTCGATGAATCCGGACAAACACTTAGGATTTGACAACATGGCGCAGAGCCGCTGGTGCCATCCGGTGTTGGCCTGCCTTCCGGGTAAACCAGTTCAAAAGTTGACAGCTACTGAGAAAGCCCAACGCCAATTGCGTCCAGTCAGAGAATCTGTCTCCGAAAGAAAAAATAAAACTGTGTCAGCCACATCGCGATGCCAGAGGCAGACACTTGAAGGTATTGCAAGCCTTTGCCACCGAAACCGGCCCGAACTATTTGAAAGAACCACTCGATGCAGTCACTTCCTGTCTCTTGGTGTGAGGAGCACAGCACGTTGCTGCGGAGGCTCCGGGAGCTGCAGGATGCAGGCGCTCTTGGAGCCGTGTTTTGACACTGCCCCATCCCCTTGCCGTGGAACCTGACGAGAGGGGGGTCTAAAGCCCAAGCGTCATGTAGGGACTCAATGGAGGACATCTCTGGGGTTGGCACGGCCACGAGCCACTGAGCACCTGTTGAAACAGGGTAGCCGTTTGCGCAAGATGCAGCCCCAAGAGTGTTGATCGGTGTGTAGCCATGAGTATGTTTGGTGAGTGCGTAAGTATTTGTTTGAGGTGAACAGCTCTGTGGAAGACAGGGATTCTCTCCAATCCCCGCTTTGGCCGGCCTTCAATCTCCCAGGGTTTCGTCAGTGACGTTGATGTTAGCTCAAGCCGGTCGCGAATCACGTTGTGGCACCCGAACATGGACATGTGCGAACACTTGTTTGAATGGGGAAATGTAATGTTAACACTAGAATAGTGGGCCACCCTTCTTTGGCAGATTCATACAGGACTCCATGAGGGGTCTGCTTTTTTTGCTGCTTTGCATCCCTCAATTGTTTTGGTTTGTGTTGCTTTCCTAGCAATGTCACCAGGCCCCGCTTCTCTCACCGCAGAGTTCGAGGAGTGCCCTGTGCTTCGGTCAAATTCGGGGCGAGCGATTTGGTAGCGATCAACCGATAGGATGGCCGGTTGGCAGGCCAGCTGTTGGGTCTTCTGAAGGAACTACACAATGCGGCCGGGCAGCGATTCGATTGGTTTGGACATGGTAGAGACGGCTCTATCAGAAGGCGCCCGCATTCCGCCACCTCAGATACTTTTGCATTTCCTAGCCTCAAAACTGCATGTGGCCCATGTTCCTGTGAGTGGATCATATGACAAGTTTTACTGGCCTCCGACCATTGTGGAGTGCTTCTTAATCTTTCAGAGCGCATGATGTTGGGGTCAGCCAAGCTTTCAAGCATTGGAGCAAGCAATTGAAGGCGATCACCGTCTACAACTGACATTCACGCTGGCTATAACAACATTTCGAATGCTGCTTTGCTTAGAGCGGCAACTTTTCCAATCGTGCAGCACCATTTGGTCGAGGCTGACTGCCATGTTTCAAGTTGATAGCTTTTTGAACTGGTCAAACCGTCGCTGAAAACAAACATCCTCAAGCAGAGATCGAAATGTGGCACAAACTTGATACCATCACGCTACATTGGTGTGCCGAATTTGGAAGCTGTTCTGGGGACTAAAGGCTCGTTGCATCAGAGTTTTCTCACAAACAAAGCAACAGTGAGATAGCTACTACCCGGTCAAGCAAATTGTCGGACCCTAGAGCTTGCGGTGTGCGGAGGAGTTCCGAGAGAGAGGGCTCAGCGAGGCAGGGGCGTCGCACTCGACGAGATCAGATGCACAAAGCTTGTTGTTAGTTATTCACTTGGCCATGGGTCAAAACCCCGTACCCCAGTGAGCATCCCAATCCCCAAGAAAGTAGACTAAAAATGGGTGGTGCACCTATCCCAAAATGGTACCATTGGTTTTGAACCATGGCCACTTTGCAGCAATCCTGCAAGCTGACAGGATTGTTTACGAAGACATATCTAGCTGACACACACACACACACACACACACACACACACACACACACACACACGCACGCACGCACGCACGCACGCACGCACGCACGCACGCACGCACGCACGCACGCACGCACGCACGCACGCACGCACGCACGCACGCACGCACGCACGCACGCACGCACGCACGCACGCACACGCACGCACGCACGCACGCACGCACGCACGCACGCACGCACGCACGCACGCACGCACGCACGCACGCACGCACGCACGCACGCACGCACGCACGCACGCACGCACGCACGCACGCACGCACGCACGCACGCACGCACGCACGCACGCACGCACGCACGACGCACGCACGCACGCACGCACGCACGCACGCACACACGCACACACGCACACACGCACACACGCACACGCACACGCCGCACGCGCACGCGCACGCGCACGCGCACGCGCACGCGCACGCGCACGCGCACGCGCACGCGCACGCGCACGCGCACGCGCACGCACACGCACACGCACACGCACACGCACACGCACAACGCAGCCGCATCCACACCCCAACGACCCACCACACTCCACACTCCACACTTTACACACCACCCACCACCCACCACGCACCACACACAACACACAACGCACCACGCACAATACACCGCACACCGCACACCACACACCACACAAGCTCCGAGATGGACTTTTTGTGGACGTAGCCACGCGCGACCTGCATTGTGAAAGTTAACTACTTTCCCACGAGGATGGCATTTCCTAAAAACCGGAGTTTCAAACAAGCGCACGTGTCAAACATGAAGCGGAGGAGAACGTCCTGCAACCGGCAACATGATCAAAGTGAGACATTGGAAAATGCTTTTCAAACACAGCCACATCGCAACCTCGTTCGGCTGGCCAGATGCAAAGCATCATCAAACCTCCAGAGCCTGTAATCTGTAATTCTGAGCCACTCCAAACTGGGGGATGTCTCAAAACGGCCGCCTTCCTTTTTCCTTAGGCAACCCGCCAAAAGGGTGGTCCCTCATTTTGACCGCCAAATCAACGAGCCACTGCAAATGTCGCTCAGTGTTTCGACCCCAGCCACGCACCCACCGCGACTCCGCACCAGGTCTCGGCGCAGGTATCGGCACAGGTCGCAACCCCCCTGATGGGGAAGCGGCATGGCATCCACATTGGCCTGTGTGTGTGTGTGAGTGTGTGTGTGTGTGTGGGTGCGTGCGTGCGTGCGTGCGTGCGTGCGTGCGTGCGTGGGTGGGTGTGTGTGTGTGTGTGTGGGTGCGCGCGTGTGTGTGTGTGTGAGTCTGTGTGAGTCTCTGTGTGTGTGTGTGTGTGTGTGCGTGGGGTTGTGTTTTTAGAGTGTTTCTTGAGGGTAGGGAGACGCCCACGTTCCAGGCTGCCATTTGAACAATGAACAAATTCACTACCGGTCCAAGGCACCGCTGATGTAGTTGCAGGTGTGACGGCGTTATACCATACACAGATTTACAGCCATAGCAAGGGCTATCAGTTGCAAATGGGTATGGGTCAACATCAAACCACCAGGGGAGCGCAGATTTTAGTCCTTTTTTTACATTTACCAGGGTTCCATTTGGGGTACCTATTTTTGACCCACAGCCAAATAGTGACTATAGCCCATGAACCAGTCAAGGACCATGAAGAGCTTGAGCCATGACCTTGCCATGGTTCCCCAGCAATGGCTCTGAATGTATGGGATGAGTGAGTTCTGGCTGGACCGCAAGGGTGTCATGCTTTAGGCGTCTGTTTCCATCTCATTTCGCACTTTCACTACAGCTACTGACTACAGGTGCGCAAATTTTGCAGTATCCACACCTTTCCGGCTTCTTCTGAGTGGTGTTCGAATGTTCGAGAATGGTGCAGAGATCGAAGGACTTTTGCTTGTTGCAAAAGATATCAGGGGCTTCTCTGCTCCCGCCCGCCTCCTTTCGAGCTCGATTTTCCAGGATGGGGCTTCTGCGATCAGGGACCTATTGATTGATTCCATTTCATTCATTTGCGGATCCCTTACCTGCGGGGCAGCCTTCAATTTGTACCCTGGACTGCAGAGATGGGGCTTTTGTGAACATGGGGTCTCAGCCATGCCAGTCAGTGTATTCCATGCAAGCGGTGTGGTTGCGCACGCGGCTGAGACTGGCCTTGGTGAATGGGTTTAGCAGACATTCCTTCTTTCTAGCAGCTCTGGCAAGTTGGGAAGTCAAGCACTGGCATCGGATGCAGTTGATATCGTTCCGGATGCTTGAAGGCCAGCACTTCAATGTGGCATGCAACATGTAGCGGTTGCCATGCCGGGGTGCTTCGAGGCGATTCAGGACGCTGATGTACAGAGAGCAGAGACAAGAATGGATGGCTCTTTGAAAGGGCAATCAAGAGTGGTATATGCCACATGTGCACAAATGCTGGTACATTTGTTGATTGGCAACTGTCCCATTGTCAGTTGGCTTTGGACGCTTCACAGATCTTACCGCCCAATCATTGTACAGAGTGTTCTTGAGCTTCTTGTCGGCCCCTCGCGAGGATGAGCGATCCTGTGCAGCTGGGCGGCATACTGGAGCTTGTTTGAATGGGACAGGGACATGAAGCTCCGAAAGCCAGGCAAGGTGTTCCTGGACGATTGTGGCGTTTGAACAAAGCCATCCAAGCATTCGTGGCTTGCGACGTTGCGACTGCAAGATGGGTTCAGACGATGCTGCTTAAATACTGGTTCACTTCTGCAGGTTTGCGCCGAAACTCATGCACGCCTTCACGAGAGTGCCCAGATGTCAAAGCACACAAGCTTCAGTACGACCTTTGTGAACTGAAGGGGCTCCTTTGAAGCTAAATTTGTTCCATGAAGCAATGAATTCCGCTTGCCTGTTTGCTCATTAAAATGTTGCACGCACTCCCACCCGCACACACACGCACAACACACACACACACAAACGCACACTCATACAGCCTGTGATTTGCAGATTTGCTAATTTGTAGGGGGCTGTGACCTGGTATACTTGCACTTACATGCGTATACCTGCAGTACATATTGTATATACACATGCATACAAATACAAACATGTGCACATGCATGCACGACGCACACGACGTACATACATACATTACACTGCACTATATTCCGCTACACTGCACTACATTGCCACACTACATTAGCATTACACTACGTCACATTACTGTACATTGCATTTCATTGCATCGCATTCCATCACATGACATCACATCACGTTGCATTGCGCAACGTTCCGTTACCCTACGTCACAGAACGTACCACTAACGCAACATAACGTAACACATGCACGCATACACACATATCTGTATGTATATATATATATATATGTGAATGCTACCCCCTTGAAATAGTCAGGTTTTGGGCTAGAACGGAGGTGTTTGGCGGTAGCAAATGCCTGGAGACTCTGAAATGAATTGAAATGAATTGACAGGACGTGCCACTCCATCCAAATTCCAACCAAGCAGAAGTTAATCTCAACGATGAATAGGAGATCCTATATAAACAGCTCGAAAGTCGGATTGGCGCGCGGGAAGTGCACTTAAAGTCACACTGGAGTATGCAAAGTGCACTTTGGCAGCTCGAGCTCAAAAAGCACAACTTCTCACCACAAGAGTAGTGCGCGAAGTATGTTTGGCACCTTCAACGTGCCTGTAGCAGCTCTATTATTTGTTTCTGTTTGGCAGGGAATCTCGGCAAATCATCAACTTGGGGGAAAGGAACTCATTCCTACTTGCAACTGACGTCCAAATCAAAAATACAAGTGCTTCATGTCCTTGCGCAGTGGCATTTACATGTTAATTCATTTTTGCGTAATTCCATTAAACAAATATCCAGTTTAAAATGCGTTCGAGTTCAAGCCTTATCAATTTCACTCGTTTGCAGTTTCTCGCGCGTTTCAATAAACCATCGGAGAACATAGCTATTGCCATGGCCAGACAAGTTTGCAACAAAACTCAATTTCAACAGGATTGTTTCCCTTATCTAAGTCCATGTGGTTTTAAGCAAGCAAGGATTGAGTCAAGCCAATGACAGAAATCAATTGTCAAACATAGATCTTCTCATTGGCATAACATGCTGCGAAACGCTGTGTCGTTCGGCAAATGGTGAGATCGTGTTGCCCTAGATCGAAGATCGAATATTCAAGATTCCACAAACATAATTTTAGAACATCCTCAATCCTGGCCCCCCAAAACAGTTTGTTCTAGACTCATTAAAGTTTTCCCCCCTGTATTGAAGATTGAAGATCTACCAGTCATTGTATTTCAGAATCTTGCATCCTGGCCAGCCCTCAAGTCCACAAGAAAAACTGTAAAGTTATCAAAACACATGTTTCCCCCCTGGCGAAATGCAGCTAGCATGCGCTAGCACATCCTGGATTGTAGATTGAAGTTTCTCTGACAACTCTTTACGCAATTCTTCAAATCTGTACTTAGGGCAATCCAGGATATACTCGTGCGTGCTAGCGCCTCCTGGATTGAAGATTGAAGATCGACAATTATCAAGCCACTTGTTCTGGAAATCTTCCATTCCATCCTTAGGACTAGCTCATATGTGCTAGCACGTGCTAGCACATCCTGGATTGAAGATTGAAGATTGAAGAATCCCAGGAAGAGTTGTCAGAGAATCTTCAATCTTCAATCCCAGATGTGCTAGCACGTGTTTGTACATGCGCATCCTAGATTGCCGTAAGTACAGATTTGAAGATTCCCAGAAAGAGTTGTCCGACAATCAACCTTCAACCTTCAATCTTCAATCCAGGATGTGCTAGCACGTGCTAGCACATCCTGGATTGCACTAAGTACCGATGCTGGAATTTAAGTCCAAAAAAGGGTGCATTGTTAGACAATCATGTTTAGAAGTTGGAAAGTGAGTTTTACATTCATTTTTGCAGCCAACATGTCAATGTCTTATCAACAACTGAGTATTGCAGGGGGGGGGGGTACCATATCTCTCTATATATATATATGTATGTATCAAGATGCATGCCTACGTAGCATGTGCATAATTCAAAGGCAATCAAGAAGGCAGGTCTGCACTCCATGAGACTCTGGGTGCGGCTGTCGATTCGAGGCCCAGCAAAGGCATCCCGTTGGAATGGCAGCGCCTGAGCCGCCCGCGCCAAAGGCGACGGAACCTTTGGGGCTGATGGTGTTCCTTTGAATATCCTCAATTCGCCCGATGACCTTGCCAAGAATTGTGGCCACAGAGATGAACATGAAGGTGCTGCACAAGAATGTTGTAAGAATTAAGGAGGCAGTGACAGATGAACATTTCTTCCGGAGCGCTAATTGGCATGAGAGACTAGTTAACTTGAGTATCCCACAACCCGGACTCGTTGAAATTTCGGACCAACCTGTGACTCGAAAGAAGTCTTTTTTGATCTGGAGTGCTAAGCCACGTCAGGCGCTGTTCTTGTGAAGCAGTGCATCTCAAAGCCGACAGCCTCGGTAGTCAGGGCCTATGCACTTCAATGACAGTCCGATGCTCCAAGTCCACAAGAAAGGGAAGCCCTTTGAAGTGTTCTTCAGAGTTTGGTCGAAGATCGGCGTACTTTCCAGTTTGGAGCCAGCTTTCGTGAAGCTTGGACCTTGAGAGAACGCCGGTCGAACGGGTTAGGATGCTTCCAAATCTACAGCATGAATACGAGAATAACCAAGATTGAGCCTTGGAGAGAAGGGGGAAGGAACCGATTTCTCCGCAAGGTGGGGTCCAGCAAGATGAACCATTTGTCTTTGTATGTAGGTGCTCCTCTAGAGGTTCATTCCTTCTGGGCCAACATGTCACAGACCAATGACTAGTGGCGCCTAGCCGAGCGCTGGGGGACCTGTGTATGGGTAGATGAATGCAACACAATATGCCCTTTGAACTTGCTTCAGGTTTCAATTCCTTTCATTATTTTGACGGTTTTGTTTTTTCCCTTGTGCCCACCACTTGGGGGGTGGCTTGATAGTGGGGAGATATTGGGCCATGTGGCGAAGAGTAGCAAGTTGATACTATGGTCGCTATTCAAGGAGGCCACGGCTGCGCAAAGGTCGACCGACGCCAGCACTTTCTGGCTCGAAGCTGCAATTTGCAGACAGAGCAGTTCCTCATGACAAAATTTGATCTACACTGAATGAGCTGTCGCCTGCTGTACTTGGCTGCCAACCATTGCTGATGTGAATCGCGGGAATACGTCATGTCCCTACACCCCTCTGACAATTGCGACAGAACAGCAAGGCCCTGACAAGCTCCCAGCAAAAGCCTCATCGACCACCTCCAAGGAAAGCCACTCTCTTTGAGAATGGGGCCGATCGGGCGGAAAAAGAGCCACGGCCGAGCCGGCCTTAGCTTCCGCAGCTTCGCCGTCGCCTTGGCCGTCGGCTTGGGCGTCGCTTGCGCCGACTCAGTGTGCTTCGCGCTGGTGGCGGGGCCGCTGAAGGCGCGGCTGCTGGCTGCCGTGGCGTCAGGTCGCAAGGAGGAGATCTTCGCGGCGGCGGAGGCCTTGGAGCGCCTGGACTGCACCGAGGCCTCGGTGGGCGGCAGGTGGTCCTTGGTGTACTCAACCCAAACCCAAGGCTCCGACGAGGAGCAGTCTTTCTTGGGCGCCATCAACGGCGCGCTGTACCGCGGCTTCTTCCGCTTCGCCCCGTTTCTGGCGGGGGGCCAGGAGAACGTGTTGCAAGCCCTTGGGCCGTTCGGATTTTCGGTGGGCAACGAGCAGCTGGTGGACGTGGTCAACAAGCGGGTGGACAATCGCGTGGCCTTGCGCTTTGGGCCGGGTAAAGGTGTTAAACTCAATGTTCAGGTGATCGGAGAGCTGGAGGGAAAGGACGAGCGGGACTTGGCGATCACCTTCACGAGTTTCAAGGTGCCGCCCTCTCTGGAGCTGCCTTTGCCTCGGCCCACAGGCCGGCTTCGCACCACCTTCTGCGATTCCACCATGCGGCTGTCGCGCGGAGGTCGTGGGGGTCTCTTTGTGCTGAGGCGCCTGGATCGCTGAGACAAAAAGGACGTCCGGGCGGGCAAGTGGGGGCTGCCATGATGTGGACAACTCCAAGTCTTGAAGGAACCATCACTTTGAGCACTGCAAACCAAAGTAGCGCCAGGCTTTGCACAGACTGCTGGCGCCTTGCATCCTCCACAAGGCAAGGCGGTCTGGGTGCCAAATGGCCGAATGCCGAAGAGGAAGGGCGGGTGTGCATGGTTTGGTTTGGGAGGGGCATTGAAGACATGAACATATGCTGGAGACTGCGAAAGCGGAGCACAGCAATGCCGGATTTACATAGCTCTAAAACCAACACCGTGGCGGAGTGAGTGGAACACGAGTCGCAAAGTGCTGTTCTGCACATGTCTCCAGATTCTTTTCAATTTGGTGCACTGGCAACTGCCTTTTGGTACCAGAGGGAGCAGACCAGCTCTAAGGCAAGGGTCCTTTTTGCTAGCAAGACAACTACCATCAGTTGTCATTCTCGCTGGTTTTGATCACGTTGCCACAGACTCTCCTCAGCGTTGCGACAAGCCGCAAGAGCTTACCTGGACCCATGCTATTCCTGCTTGGAATCATCTTCACACTATTGCCAGTGCAATGAACTGTCATTTTTGTGTCCCACCTGAGCGAGCCAAACGATTTAGACTCTTGATCATAGCCATTGTGTGCCATGGCGAGAGCATTTGGCTTGGTGTTCGTTGCTGGAGATTGATTCTTTGGACGACGATGACGAAGGAACTGGCATGCTGTGAGCAGAGTCTCTGATTGGGAGCTTTGGGTTGTCCTGTCAGCCATGTAGCCTAAAGTGTTTGATGTTTTTGGCTTGCCCCATCGCTGTGTTCGCGCAGCTTCTCTGGCCCACACCAGTGATGGCATCGCTGGTGGCGGGGCTTTTTGTGAGCCCTCCCCATGAGCGGGTGGGGCGAGGCTGGGCATAGGGGGATATCGTCAAAATGGGCCATCACCCATCACCCATCACCCATCACCCCATCACCGTCACCATCAAAATCACCATCATGATCATCATCATCATCATCGTCATCGTCATCGTCATCGTCATCATCCTCATCCTCATCATCATCATCATCATCATCATCATCATCATCATCATCATCATCACCATCACCATCACCATCACCATCACCATCACCATCACCATCACCATCACCATCACCATCACCATCACCATCACCATCACCATCACCATCACCATCACCATCACCATCACCATCAACTCATCAAGTGCTCCACAACGGGAATGCTTCATATAGATTTCGACTTTCACAATCGCCACAAGTAGATGGAGATGGGTACAAGCGCATGCCCAATACGAATCCCAGAAGTTTTTGCATGGCTCGTCCAACCTGCGAATGAGGGCCACATGCGCCATGATTAAGACCCCTTCGCGGTCCTGCCTATTAGGGACTTGTGTTGGGTGGTCTGAAGTCCGCACATCAGTGATGCTCTCATTGCTGAAAACCCCAAGGAATCCAAAAAACGACAATGCGCCAAGAATGCTGATAAACATCAAAATGCCACTTCCCATCAACCCCTACATAACTGTGTGAACCCTCTGGACAATGGGCCTATCATGTTTCTCCTATCTACCGTGTGTCAAACGAGGCTTCAAGAAGTCCTTTGTAATGCCAAGACGGAGTTGTGCACCACAAAAGCTGGCGCGTAAGCACAGCAATCGGTTTGCCCACCCCACCCCTCCTTCAGCTTTATCCTAGTGGAACGTGACAGATTCCTAAGCTCGCCATGCTCGCTGGCCGCGTCGCATTATCAGTCCGTAAACTCATATTTGGAGGAGACCATATGCATGAGGTATTCTGAGTTCATGTATCCCTGCCAGAGGTGCTTTGATCATGGCGTGAGAGACTTCGTCGTTTTGCGAAGCCCCAGTTTCCTGGTTTGTTTTGGGGGGGCGATGGTGCAGCTCCGTTTCGCCTCGCTTCCTCGAGGTGTGGCGGACTTTTGCTGCGCCCAGCGGCGGCCCTCGCCGCCGCCGGAGCAGCATCTAGCGAAGGTCCTCACCGCGAAGGCGAGGCGGGAGCCTTCCCAAAGGCTTTGAAAAGGCCTTGCTTGGGGAAACAGGGGTGGTTCAGGGGAAGGGGGCTGGAATCCTATGGTGTCTCGAGAAAGGGCCCACATGAAATCACGAAGGCAGCTGGTGCAAAACCTCGTTTGGCATGTTCTGTGTTTCTTTCAAGACTATGGTGGCCAGTTTGCTTTTGGCCTGCTAGCATGAGCAACTTATTGTATGGCAAACTAAGTTCCACTGCGGATTGGAGGAGGACACAGGGCGGCCAAAGCGTCAATCTCGCCAAGCCAAAAGGCCCTGCCCATATCCAATGTGCAGTTGGAGAAGCAAGTGACGCAACACTGGTTCTGGTTGCAGTAAGCCACGCTCACTGTGGCCGCGTTATGGACTGTCATGTGATTCTCAAGTGTCTCTGAGCACCAGAAGCAGACAATCCTTCGATTCAAGGCAGTTTGTGACGGCACACTCTGTTTCCCATGTGCAGCGCTGTTTGAGAAGGATTGGTATCGGCAGGCTCCACGAGACTGGCAGCGCGGTGAAGTGAACCTCTTTTCAATGAATGGCAAACAGTTCAAGTATGATTGTATACGCCGGGAATTGATTTTACGTGATCCAACTGACTCTATCGTGAACCAAACAACAAGTTCCAGCTGCTAGCTTCCCATTTGTTGAAGAGGTCCAGCTACTTTGCCACGATTTTATGTTGGGCGTATTGACAAGGTTGACGAAGCAAGAAACAAGAAGCAAGACAGGTGATGACGAGTAGAGCTGCGGCTTGCGGCCGTCTCTCAGCTCGGGGTACCCTCCCACCAGCTAACATGGAAGTGCACAGAGCCCTGTAGAAAGACGACTTTCCTCTTGGTTAGTTGGCCTTGTTGCACTTTCATGTTAGTTGGTGGGAGGGTACCTGGTAGTTCGTCGCGCTCAATTCGGCCATAGGTGCAGCGCTACTGCACCGCCGTGGAGTCACGGCGCGAGAACCTGGCGGCGGTGGATGGCTTCTACCGCCCTGCGGCGGAAAGCGTTCTGTACGGGTTTTCCTCAACCCAAACCTCTAGGTCCTAGGGTGTGTCATGGAATCTACCGCTTGTCACCATGGTTGGGGTGTATATATATATATATATGTATATATATATATATACATAGATGTACATATGTGTCCTTTTCTTTCAGGGTAGTGATTTAGTGGTTTTGGAGCCCGGGTTCCTGTCGAGTTAATTACTGAAAGGGCCGCTGAGAGCTGACTGCTGAAGGTTCACTAGGCGACTGGCGGCTGACCAGCTAATTGGTGCCTGCATTGGAGACGTTGCAGCTCCGAGATTTCCACGGAACATTGACGGAACATGGTTACCCCGACTTGTGACATGTGGCGATAGTTGGGTGTTTGCGGGCTTGGTGTCACTTCAGCGGCATACCCAAAGCGGCAATCAACGTTGATTCGTCAGAGAAGTCTTGGATGCTCAGACTGAGGCGAGCTGATGGTTTGCCAGTGGCGTGTCGAGGCCATTGAGGCGAAAGGGAATCGCTGTGCTCGGTGTCTTATGGCCTTGGACAGCTTGGTTTTCGGTCCAATTTCTGGAGTAGGCTTGGAAGCCTTGAAAGTGATAAAGTAGTCATGACGTTGTTGGACTGTGTCTTCCATGTGGGAACCTTGCTTGCTCGATGGTGCCAAAGGAAAACCAGGGATTCCCCTTGACACTAACTGTCACCCCTGCTTGGCGGGGTCTCCTAAGTTTGACACATTGCAATTTCTTGAGTGGTGCTTAGAGGTTTTAGCGTTTGTGGCTTCCGTGTCTCAGGTGGCCAACTCAAACCTCCAAGTGAAACGGTCAAAATGTTGTTTGGGGAAAGTGCACCCAGGATAAATTCTGCCTCACGATATGTGTGTGTGTGTGCGCGTGTGTGTGTGTGTGTGGGTGCGTGTGTGCGCGTGTGTGGGTAGATATTTGCAACTTGCGCAGACATGGCTAGCACACACACACACACAATGTAGACAGCTGCATCACCCAGCAGGAGTTTTTGTTGCCATGTTCGAACAAATCACTCGGCTCCTGTTTAGAGTGATGAAAGGCTTCAGCTTGCTTTGTCCTCCGATCCAAGTAAGAGGGTTTGTTCATTGATAGCTCATCTCTCGTTTCCCTTTGTGATGGGCAGGAGGGTGCATCGGCACCGCCTTACCTTTGATTTTACAGAAAGACTAAACTTGGCGACATATCTTTGACTGTGCCACAAGGGATTGGAATGACCATTCTTTTGGGTAGTGTGCACTTTGTGATGCTGACAACAGTAGACCTGGGCCACATGTCTGACTTCGTCAGCTGATCAGACTACCAGAGCACATTCCCAAAGGGCGTCTACCCTTGGTTGCTTGGTTGATAGACGGACCAAGCATACCGCATTGGCAGCATGTTGATCGACAGGAACATTCTGGGAATTTTCAGTCATGTTGGAGTTTCTGCACGTTTGGTCGTGTTGGTCATGCTTTTCTTTGTTGAGTCAAGCCTTTTTTCGGTCTCCAGCCATGGCAACAGAGGTTCCGCAGATTGGTGCTGGATGGGCGAGCTGGCTTCGTTTGTTTACTATGTCTTGGCCAGAGCCCAACAAAACCCGCCCATCAGGCGCAGCAGCGCGCCCTGGCGGCGGGCGCCTCAGGAAGTGGGCGCTTTGGAGCGAGTGTGGCCTTGTGTGGATGACATGTTGGTTTCATTTGCTCTTTGCAGCGTTTTGCGCTGCAGTTCCTAGCTTTTGAAATTCGCCCGGGGATGTTGGGAGGATTATTGCGTTTGCAATTGGGCCAAATTCCTTCAGGGTTTGCTCCACACTACCAAGAAAGGTCTAACAGTGTCGCTCTTTGCACCCCCCCCCCCCCACAGTTCGATTTAGTCTGCGACTGGATTGTGGGCTTTTGCTTCCGCTGCGCCGACCCAGGTGCCGGCTGATGCAGGAGGCAACTGGAGGGCACTGTCGACTGTAGGCAGTGTCGACAGATCATAAACCAACTCATGCCACAACTGTCCCGGGTGTAATTCACACCTGAAAAGGGCAGTGGACGGAGAAATTAGAGGGGTCCTGTCGATACTGCGCCACCAAGAAAGCAAGTAACATCTGACAGAATTGAAGCTGAATGTTTGTGATACTCGTAGAAGGAAAAGACGATTTCAATTCTCGCCAAGGCCCGTCCTATTTCAGATATGGTCATGCCAGGTGGTGCGGCTGACTCTCTGGGCGAGGCGGTTGCAGCGGCGCTGGTGGAGCGACATTGGGGAAGGGTGGAGCATGGGCAACCGAGGCAATGGCTTGCCGAGGCTGGGTGAATTTGGTTGATTTTGGGAGGCTGAGGCGCATTGATCCCTGGTTCTCCCGCAAGGACATGAGCACGGCTGCCTCAACAAGCGCCAACTATAAGAACGGGGCACACGCAGCAGATGATCCACACGAGATGACACCATCAGCTGCTCACGGCCAACTGAAGGCAATCAACTCCGGAACTTGAACGGTCAAACGCAGGATGCATGACAAACGAGACACAGCCACAACACAAGCGCACTTGCACTAATATATCACATGAGCATTCCAACCAACAAGCAGCATGATCGACAAGGACCAAGGTGACATGGACATGGTTTTCTCACCTCAACCATCAGCACGCCAGAAAGTTGAGGCCTTTCACGCTCACACCCTTGTTCTTCAGGCCCCCCCCCCCCCCCCGGTACATCCTGGCCCCATTGGATTTCCGGGCCCCGGTTGCGATCCTCGCCGAGTCGCCGTGTTTGGATCGCTGCGTTCGCAGGAGCTCTCGCAGCTCCGGGAGGGCGCCGTGGCGGGCCTCGAAGAGCGGGCGACGCACTACGCGCTGCTGGCGGAGGGCCATACCGCCCACACCGAGGCGCGAGGGGCGGCTGGGGTCGAGGTGCTAGGAGTTTCGGTTGGAACGCTATGGGACGTGAATCCCCCGTGTAAATGTTGTTCACCAAAGCCCCAGTGAGGTCTCGAGACTACATTCTGTCGGGTTTGATTGTGAATTCTTCCTGGTGCCGGGGAGGAGGAATCGTGGCGTTCAATGCATGTTGATCTGAGACCTGTCGCTTTTATGACCAGAGCGAGAGGCATCATATGTGTGCATATTTCTATGTGCCTATGTGCCTATGTGCCTTTACTGTGTGTATATGCGACAAATGGTACTCCCGCTCTGAAGGCGGAGCGCGACGCCGCTATGGGGTGCTACCGGCAGCTGGCACCTGGGATTGGAGAGTCAGCAGAAGCGGGTCACGACTGGATCAACAAAAAGGTCATTTTTTGGGCCAGGCTTGGATGCACCCCTTGTTGAATTGATTGTCGAATCGCCTCTAGATTTCCGGCTGAAGTTGCTCCTGGAAAACCAGTTTTGCCCTCGCACAAATTACTTGCAACCCCCCCTGGTCAACGAATTCAATGTATGTGTTTGTTCCATGGGCTCAGTTGACAGGTCTGGTGGAGGATTATGGATTGTCCGCAGACCGTGCGACCGCTCGGAGTGGTGACCGCAGGTACCCAGAGTTCTGACCCTGACAACCCGAAACCGATCGCGAGGGGACGTGAACAGCGCGCGCAAGTGCGCGCTTTGGCACGCTTGTTCCCTGAAGTGTGTTTGTTGTCCTCTGTCGCATGTTTGGGTGGCTTTTTCGGAGATTCAACTCAGATTCTCTGGTTTGGTCGTTGGATCCCCCCCGGTCGAGTGAAAAAAGAGGAGCACCCGCCGCGGATCTGCCGCAGCCGAGGTGGCGGAGGTCTTCACGGAAGCCAGCGCCGAGATGCAGGGGCTGCTGGAGGCGCCCGAAAAATCCGCCGGGGAGTCGGTCCAGTGGGCATGTAGTTTAGTGGCGCAGGTGCTGCATGGTTTGTTGGGAAACATTTCCCATTTTTGCTTATTGTGGTTCCGTGGTTGAAATCCAACCACTTCTCTGCTAACATTTAAATTTTTGCTCCCCTTCCAACGTCAACCAAGGCTGTTTGGGGTGCTGCTTGAGGTGCTGTTTAAGGAGTGCCGGGAGCTCTGGGCTGTTTGGGACTCTCTTTGGGGGGGGGGTGCTGTTAGGGGTGCTGGTGTGCAATCATTGGCCTGTTTTTGGCTATCTGGGGTCTATGCTGGTGTATTTTGTTAAACAACAAAGCCAAAACCACACCAATTAACTTGGGCTACCCCATGTTCAGACCCCCATGCTCTTCTTTTGTGGCGACCATGTATATAACCAAACAACACTGGACATGGTTGAAATGCGGGATGGTTCCTCCGCTACCAGGAAACAAGTTGCAGAAAGATCCGCCGCGAGTAGCAATTTTGGCTTTGAAGACTGACAAGACAGGCAGCGCCAATCCTGATTCGCGCTAATCCGTTCTCCATAATAAGAACAACTCCCCCCCTGCCCCCAAATCACTTTGTGTTCAGGGGCGTTGCTGCAGTCACTAATTTGTGTCATTTTCCAGATTTGCTTCACCTTGGTTTTGCTATGTCTTGTGTTGGTTTAGTGACAGTGTAGTATGGTCTGGTGCTGGTTTGAACATGCCCCTAATATGACAGCAGCTAGGGTTTGGGGGGACACCTAGGAGTTTAGAATTGGTCTAGTATTGGCCAATCCTCATCGCGTATTGCGAGATAACGATTTGAGTCTGGGGCAAAAGAAGTCATAGGGTGCATCTAGCAAAAAGAAGGGGTTGTAATTCTCATGGAGTATTGGGAGAAAATGGGGGGGAATCTAGCGGGAAGGGTCGGCTGGGCTTTCCTCGGCTCAGGCGAGGGGCTGCGCCTTGGGCTTGTTGGGCTCCCTGGAGCGGCGCAGAAGCTTCTGGGCCCGCGAGCTGGAGGCGCGAGACGGGTCATTCCATTTTGCAGCTTAAAAAAGCATCCAGGGGGTCTTGCTATGGGTCGCTGCACTGTTGGGCTGAGCTCTTGGGCTCTTTGGCTGTTGGTTCGCTTGACTGCTGGGTTGTTGAGGTGTTAAGCTGGGCTGTTGGACTGTTGGGCTGGCTGTTGGGTTGGGCTGCTCTGGTTGGTGCTGCTGGTGCTGGCCAGGGTGCTGTTTGGTGTGGTCAAGGTGCCGTGCTGGTTGCTGGCGGTGCTTGCTTGGCGGTGCGGTCAGGCTGCTGGTCAGCGGGCTGTGGGTGCTGGTCGCTGTGGGTGCTGGTCGCTGTGGGTGCTCGTCAGGGTGCTCGTCAGGGTGCTTGTCAGGGTCCTGCTGCTTGGCGCGCAGGTGCAGCTTGGTGTGCTCAAGGTGCGGTGACAGTTGCTGGCGGAGATGCGATGCGGTCCGGGTGCTGTTGCCCGTGTTGGTCAGGGCGCTGTTTGAGTGCTGGCCAAGCTGCTGTTTGGTTGCTCAAAGTGCGGTGGGAATTGCTGCAATGCTTGTTTGGCTGTGGGTGCTGTTGTGGGTGCTGGTTGCGGGTGCTGGTCAAGGCGCTGGCCAGGGTGCGGGTGCTGTTTGGAGTGAGGGTGCTTTTTGTTGTGCTCAAGCTGTGGGGGCACTTGCTGAGGCCGCTTGCTTGGCGATGCAGGCAAGGTGCTGTTGTGGGTGCTGCTCAGAGTGCTGTTTGGTGTGCTCAAGGTGGTGTGGTTGCTGGCGCGAAGGCGAGGGTGCTCGCGTAGTCGTTCATGCTAGTTGGGGTCTATGCTAGGAGACAACGTTCAATCGGGGTTTACCAATCCAAACCACCAGAATCCAATAGAGGAAAGCTGGTCATTTTGTTTTTCCACATGCGTTGATGGAGGCAGTTTTACGAGAGCACGGAAAGGGGCCAAGTCTCGGCAGTTTGCGGGCCGGGCAAAGGGAAGATTTGGGCATGGCTCCTCCGACACATTTGCCAAGGATATTTTTTCCCAAAAGGCAAGGCAGGTGCGTTTGAAGGGCCTTGCGGGCCTTGAAGGGTTTGAATGGAGGAACAAGCGTGCCCTACTAGTAGCAATTCCAACTTTGAGTCTTTTTTGAGGGAGCCATGGTCAGAACTCCCATTGCATGCTTGATCCTAATTCCCCCTTCAGTAGTGTTTGATTAATGCCAGCTCTCTGCTTGTCCTTCCGATCTTTTGGGCTTTGACAAGACCCCTCCTAATTCGAGGCATTGGCTTGAAGACTCGGCCATCCACCGGTCAATAGCATGGCCATTGTGTGGGATTCCCATGTCATGGCCTCCACCCTTGGAGCCTTGGGAGCCTTGGAGCGTTGAGTTTTGACCGAGGGACCGTGGCCGTTGCGTCCTTTCGCAGGAGACATGGGCCGCCTGGCATGATGCGACCGCGCGTATGCACACCGCAGGTGCGGAATGAGTTGAATCCAAGTGAGTCGAGTGAATCGGAGGGTCAGTACGGATGGTACACCGATTGAGATATTGAGCACAAATTCGGATCTTCTGTAGGACACACTGTAAACTTCTTTGCATGCTCTTGTACGTTCTTGTACTGATTGCTTAAGGTTGGGTGACACGGGTTGGATTAGGGGGCCAGAGTGTGGCCCAGTTCCATATTCTCCCTTGTCCCGGAATATGGACTTCCTGCACAGCTCTGCTTGCGAAGGCTGCTTGCGTAGGCAGCTTGAATAGGCTGCTTGCAGGCTGCTTGCATAGGTTGCTTGTGCAGCTTGCGCTACATCTTTTCTATGTCTCCTCTATGTTCTTTCGGGGTAGGCAGGATGAACCCTCTGCAGAGATTCTGCGTGGCGATCCGAGGAGCACACAGTAAATGCCACTTTTTTTAACCCTCCGCTGAACGAACAGCAACATGTCGAAATTCACTTACTCGTGGGTCAATGCCGTAACCGCGCGCAGATTCGGTGCGTTGACGAGCTCGCACTTAGAGTCGGACTTTTCGGACTTGTAGATGACACACAAACACACATCGTGCTGCGCTCACACTGTTTGACACGGCCAGCTACCGGAGTTGGCATTTTTTCGGTGCTTGTCCCCAACTTCCTCAATAATTTCCCTCCCCAACTTCCCAAACAGTTTCCCAGCCTCGATTTTTCCCCAACAGCTGAAAGGTTCCAGCAGGGTTCCACCAGGGTTCCACCAGGGTTCCACCAGGGTTCCACCAGGGTTCCACCAGGGTTCCACCAGGGTTCCACGAGCGTTCCACGAGGGTTCCACGAGGTTCTGCAAGGGCTGCGGGGTAGTGCGAGCACTAAAAAGAGCACCGCATGCTGTTGGGGATATCACCTGAGCATATTTTTTTGTTGAAAGCGTACCTCAAAGACCTCAAAGGGCATAGACTTTGTGCGCCAGGCTACGATGCCTTGTGCGCCTGGAGGGAGATCGCCGAAGTTTTAGAGTCTGCTTGCCAGTGGCCCGGATGGAAGCGAGGCAAGCCGGGAATGGTCAGAGTCGGGGCCGTCCCGAGGTTGAAGCTCCAGGATTGTTTAAACAACCTCCTTTTGGTTTCCCTTCAAAAGGGGGCCATGCCTGGTTTGTTGAAACAACTTTGGTCCAACTCTAGTGGTCAACCGCAAGTGCCTGCAGTGGGCCATTGATTCAGTAGTGGTGCAAAAGCCAAGTTTGCACCAATTGCCGCAATGCAAGAAGCATTGCTTCTGGTACCTTTGTTCTGCACCAATCCTTCACAGTTTGGATCAGGGCAGCCTGGCATGGAATCAGTTACCTTGATACAATCCCAGTTGATGCCAGTAGCCTTTCCGTGCAATGTCAGGTTGAAGAACACATTCTGTGTAGGGCAATTCTTTCTGGGGCTTGGCGCCCCGCCACGATTTGCGAAGCTTGTTTGGCTTCATCACGAGTGATCAATGTAGGTCGCTTCCCGACTGAACGCGGATGTCCGAGATCCGGTTTTGGCAGAGTTTTTCAGCTTGCCATTTGGAAGGCGGCAGGTTGAGTTGCTGTGCCATGCAGCCACACCGCACCTTCGCGCATCCTAATCTTCAACATCCAGAGACTGCATTTATGTTGGACAGGGGTTTTCTGATTGCCACATAGTGGTGCTGGATGCCCTGGCTCGAACGAGCCAGCCGGTTTGGCCATCTGAGGCACTTTGAACGCTTGCAAGATGGGGGGCAGAAGGCAGGGGACAAGGGTGTGAAGCATGAGATGTAGCTCTTCCAAGGGTGTAGAGTTATTTATAGAAAGAAAACTGATGCATCATTAGAATGAAGATGACGCAAACACTTTCCAGAATATGCCCATCTATTTAGGACGCAATACTGGAATATGCTGCATCAATATCCGATACAACATGTAAAGCTAAGAAGTGATTTCGGAGGAAATCGTGATTCCTAGTGAAACGACCAAGAATCCACAAACTCCTGTACCATGAAGGACTAGGATATTATTGTAGATTCACTAGTTGCATTGCAAACAATCAACCATAATTGCAAAACCACGACCCTGGGATTGGGTGCCTCATTTTCATTTGTTTTTGGCTGTTGTTTGTTTAGTTTTTTGACTTCTTCTCGGGAATCGTGCATTTTCAGGCCCTCTCCTCCTCACCCACCTTTTGCTTTCTTGCTGTTTCTTGAACAACATATTTTGAAGCCTGTACTCCCTAGCTGACTTGCTCCACACAACAATAGTGACACACGATCAATATTCAACACAATAATGACATAATGGTCATGTGGAATAGTTTTCAATCTGTTATCCTTCCCTTCGCGTAACCAGTGTCCTGTCCACTTTCTGAGAACATTTCAAAGATTGCACAGAAGTAAGGAACGTGGACATGGCACCTATATGTTCTAGATGCCGTAGTGCTTCCAGAAAAGTCCGGACGAAAGGAAGTGTGAGGGAAGGTTCCTTGTGCCCGGACGTGATGATTTCCATGTGGTTTCAGAACCAGGTGGTTCAGTGCCGCCCTTTCTTGCGTGCCAGAGGAGAGGCCTTATGGAAGATCAGAGAAACAGTTTTCCTTAGGGTTGCAGGGGATGTTGTTCACGCAGCTGAGATGCTGTTCCTTTCTTCGATTTCCGGCGACCCTGCTTGCAGGGACGCTGCGTCGTTTGAGGAACCTCCTTTGTTCTTCTTTGCCCAACCAGGGGGTTCCACGGGTTCCATGTTGGGGCTGCACGTCTCGGCCGTCTTGCTCGTGCCGCTCGTGCCTTTGTAGGTCATCGCCAAGCCGGAGCTGCGCGAGGCGCTGGTCACCTTCGCGGCACGGAGCTTGGAGCTGGAACTCACCAACTCCCTAGGCGCGGGGGGCTTGGGTGGTTGGGGTTGGGGGGGGGGGGGTAGGGGGCTGGGGTAGTTGGGGTGGGAGTTGGTGATTTTTTTGCTGGGAGTTGGTTGGTTTGGGATGCAACTTCTTTTTTGGAGTGCGCTTGGACCGTGCGTGATGAGTGGCGTGATTGGAACTTGGGGCTTGGAATGGAGGTCTGCAGTAACTGCATTGCCATACTCATTTTACAATTGATGCCGCGTTCCTCTGCGTCAAGTAGCTTTCTGGGCGCATAGTGGTGCAGGTCTCTGTAAGACAAGAGCACCGCGCAGTGTCACCATCTTCAAACGGTGAGTGGGGGGGGGAAGCGCAAGACTGCTTCCGTCACAAGGCCCGAGTAATTGTATGCTCGCACGGGGTAGTGCTCTCAAGGCTTGTTGTTTAAGACCAATCCTTAAACTTCGTATGAAATGGTCAGTGGTTTCTCTGCAGCATCGGGTTTTCATTATGGACTACGGGTGTGGAGTAGGGATCTGAATGGGAACCACTCTGCAAGGCCACAAGGGGTCTTTCCATGTCAGGCCTCAGCGGACTTCACGGGGGTGAGTCCCCTGGGGGAAGTGACCGCTTCGCCCTGGAGACGAGGCGCCGCCGTTTTGAAAAAGGCATATGCCCCACACAGCCTCTGTGTACAGGAGCCATGAAACATCATGTTGGCACGAGGCGTGAATCTGGGGGTGTGTTTCCCAAAAGTGAAGGATCCCCTCTTGAATGGGCACGCATCCAATCAATGAACCAGTTCATCATCCTTGGTTCCCCTCAGGAAACATGAGGATACCCGGATGAATGTGACTGGGCCGGGCTGCTCGGAGCAGCGGAATTCTTGCCCGACCCCAGTGGTCCGAGAAGCCTTGGGGACCGCCAACGAGGATATCACCTGGTGCCCCGCAGGTGGCTGAACACCTGGCAGGCACCTGGCAGGCGGCACCGAGCCTTTGCGGCGTGGTGCTTTCGAGGTTGCTCTGCCAGGACCACGCGATGTCATCGGAGACCCTTTGGAGCCGCGCTTCTTCGCTGCTGAAGGGGGGTGGGGGGTGGGCCGCGCACGCTCTAACCTTCGGATGGACGATGCTTTCTTGGCGGGATTTGGCAACTGCCACCTGGCCTCTGCCCAGTGCTGGGAACCGCAGCGCAAAACATCGGTCTTCAGCTCATTGCTGGCCATGCGGGCGCCGGATGCCTTGCAAGCTCTCGCTGGTTTCTTGCAGGGGCCTCGCGACTGACTGGTTCGCACAAACGTCCCGAGGGCCCCGAGCGACTGTTTCTGGCCGACCGAACGGAAATTAGAGGGACCGGCTTGCTCACACCGGTCCCCCGGTCAAGCTCAGACTTCTCCGCAAGTCACCAACGACATGGCAGTGCTGAAAATCTCAAGTATGTCCGAGTCCATCCACACAGACATCAGGTCCTGGGGGTCCAACCCATTTGAGGAAGGGTTGGGGTTCCATTTTAGGCCTTGGTTTGGGGGTCCTAAAGCCATCATTGTAGAGGAATTCGGTTTTGCCCTCATGTTGGAGCCCGTTCCATGTGGCCAGGCTTTTGAATTCAAACAGGGAGCCGCCCATGTTCACCAAAGGGTCCCTATTAAAATGGGAATACCGTAGATACTCATGGGGCCGTGGGTCAACACCAACGGGATCCCATTTTGGGGGTTTTCGGTGCACCACCCATTTTAGTCGGGATTTTCGTGGGGATTGGGAGGTTAACTGGGGGCTAACCGGGGGTTTTGGGCCCATAGCCATGTTCGCCTGCTATTTGTTCCAGGCTGGACATGCTCACCTCGGTGCTGCAGCTGCTGGAGCACCTGAAAGTGCTGGACCGGGTGGGAGAGGCGCTGCTCCGCCCAGGCGGAAAACGACGCGGGAGCGCCATCCGCTGCCATCCGGGGGGAGGGGTTCTGCACCGGTTCCGTGGAGGTCGGTGCCCTGGAAGCGTTTGTTTGCCTTGAGGCATTCTCGATTTTTTGGTTCTGGGGCGGGAAGATGCTAGAAGAAGATTCTAGCATTTGGAGGGTTATGTGGATGTCACTTTACGGACCTCGAGAGAACAAAGACGGGCTGGGGGAGTCTGGCAGTCGGCATTGTTTTGGGGCGGTGTCTGGGACCCTGTCATTGCGTTTCGGAAATGCAAGAAGTCGAGAGCGCCGTGCGGGTCGCGGAGCGCTCTGTCGACAAGTTGCCTGTACTGAACGGAAGCCAGCAAATGGAATTTATTGACGCGCCTGCCTGCAGAAACGCACCAAAAAACACAGCTGAGGAGTTGCCCCGGGCGCGTCACGCTCTGTCACGCTTGTTCACGCAGAGTTCCTCTAAAAAGCGTCCTGACTGGCGGGAGGAATCCACTTGAACTGCTTTTCTGTGCGTGTGTGCTCCCTTGTCGGCAGGCGTTGAGGACATGCCTTTGCCCACCAGCCGGGCTGCCGCGCGGCTTGCCGGCCGCACCAAGGCGGGGGTGTGGGGTCAGGTTGCGAGGAACCTGTCACTTGCAACAAGACTCATTCGAGGGATGCCGGGGACTCTGTGCGCTCGAAGCCTTGCGCATGTCACATAGAATGGAAAAGAAAAGAGATAATTCTATTAGAAACGAAAGTAAAAGAAATAACAGATTAATTCATAAGAAAAAGATAATAAAAAAGAAATAAATAAAAAGATAATAAGAAATACAAATAAAAAGACAATATGAAAGCAAAATAAACAAACAATAATAATAAACAATAGAAATGAAAAGAAGTGGCATGTCATAGAGGCATTTGAGGGCCTTTCTTTCCCTCTGTTCCATCGTCTATTGCTTAACCGCTTGGTGACGGAGCAAATGGTCATGAACATACCAACAAAGGAAAATAAAAGACAAAAGTAAATATATGAAAGTAAAAGAGAATTATAACGACAAAGGAGACAAACAAACAAAAGAAATAAAAAAGAAAAGAGAAAGAAGAAAACAGATAATAAAAGATAAAGAAATAAACACAAAGAGAAGACAAAAAGCATTATGACATCAAATCCAAGAATTGGGAATGAAAAGTAATAAAAGAAGCTTCCCTCAGCCTTTCCATAAAGACACTTTTCTATTTCTCTTTACTTCTTCTTTAGAATTATTTTATTTTGGAAATCATTACATTTAGAAGTTACATCAGATTCATTTTGTTTTCTTATTAATATTTCTATCTTATTAATCTTTGCAAATATTATAATTCTATTTATCTTTACAGGATTTAATATTTATTGTTGGACTGGAATTCACTTCTCATAGAATTATTTTCTTATATTATTTCATCTTAATTTATTATTTATTTATAGTTTTCATATTTGGTCTAGAGATTTATTAAGAGAATTAACTAAAAAATATGAAGTCTTATTAATAATCTTTTTTCTTCTTTTTGGAAGTTTTCTAGTTTCTGAAGCTCTATTATTTGTATCCTTCTTTTGGACATCTTTTCATTTATTATCTTCTCCAACTTTAGGGATGTGGCCAGGAGAAGCTTTCTATCTTCCAGATCCTTGTGAATTAACTTTTGCTAATACACTTCTTTTATCTAATGCTGCTATATCTCTAGGAAATGCTTTTATTAATAACGAAATTTCATCAGAATATATTATTTTCTTCACTTTATGGTCATTCCTTTTGTCTTCTCTTTTTATTAGTTTGCAGATTAAAGAATTTCGCATTCTCGCATTATCAATTAATGATTCACTTTATTCTTGTCTTTTCTTTTTTATTAATTTCTTACATTTCTTTCATCTATCTATTGGTCTTCTTCTTCTAATTCTTCTCTTTTGGAGTTGTAATGACATGCTATTTTCCTATCATTTATCTCTTCTTCTAATTCTCTTCTTTCATTATCTTGTTTGTCTTTTTCATATGTCATCTCATTCTATTTCCGGGAGATCCGGCGGGTTGACAATGATCAGGAGATAATATCCCTTTTCCCTTATTTTCAAGTTATTTTATTTGGTTTTATTATATTGGATCCTTAGCTTCTCTCACATTAATTCCATGTATGTTGCAAGCAAAGAGTAGCGCGTTTTTGTCAGTGTAGTGTTTACGGCCTGTTTAATTACAATTCGGAGGATTTCTTTGGTCGCGTCCTCACAGGGGCTAGCATATCGCGTGCTCTCATGCGGCAATTGTCTCGCCTGACGAGTCTGCCCTTTTGCCGACCAACAGAGGGAAGTCAGGGCTTTTTGTCCGCTACCAGGGTGCACGGCTTTGATGTTACATCACAATTTTGTGAATTGAGAATTCAACCGGTTTCATCCTGGGGGAGGCATGGGGGGTTTGTCAACTTTTAGTGCCGCCCTGCGGGTCCAACAAGTTTTATGTTCATGATTTTGCAGGGTGAGGCTCTAGCAGATTGCCTCCTCCTGGCAGGGCCAAGCGCTGGCGCAGGCGCGCTGGATGCGCGGAAGGTGTGTCCATTGATTGGACTAGTTCTGCATTTCAATTGCGGCTGGCTTATACAGTAGTTCGGGGGAAGAGACACTTCCAAGGGAATCTGGTTGTGGCTGGTCCGATGGCCCGATGGCCAGCCAGTAAGCAGCCAGTTAGCAAGACGAATTCAGGAACCGAACCTATCATCTTTCACACCGTGAGCAAATTGGATCTTCTGGGACTCGAGGGATGCCAAGCATGACATGTCGTTATCAGTTGTCTTGTTTGACGCGTCGAACCCGCCATGGGTAGCTGAAACAAACATGCTCTTGGCCCCGGTTGTGCCCTTCGAGACGCAGCCTCAACTTCTGAGGGCGTGAATATGGGACTCTTTGTGCAAGAGTACTGGGGCGGTGTGGGTGCGGAGGTAAGTAGCGAAGCCACCACTTCTATGCAAGAAGTGCTCTCAACCACGAGTAGAATTGGCTACCACAGAGTTTGCTGCAAGTGAAGGACATCTTCATACCTTGTCTGCTTGAGAGTTTGGCTTAGCCAGTTTGCCCGTTTTTGTCCTCTGCGGAGCCTGCTACATCACATGGCCTGCCAGCATGAATGAAGAAATGGCCCTACGATTGATTTTCATGGTTTGTCTGGTGAAATTGATGTCCTTGCTAGTAAGGTCACACACGTACACTTTGGACTGCCTTAAGTGATACCCTCACAAATGTGTTCCTCCCTCGAACGCGCCCAGGCCCATGTTGGACTGCATTTACTGCCCTCCGCAAGACTCTCCTGAATAGACGCCACACGCCTCTCCTGTGGTCTTCCCGGAGTCTTCCCAGAGTCTTCCCAGGCCGAATTTCCCGAATTTTACCGCCCCGGGATCTCCGGTCGTGTTCCCGGAGTCTCCCGCCGGTGTGCGTGTGCGTGTGCCTGAGTGCGTGTGCGTTCACGCGCCCCAGTCCGGCGTGCATGCTGCACATTTTCAGCGATGTTACCCCAAAGCCGGCGCTGTTACACAGTCATTTTTTCGGCGGTGTTACCACGTAATCTCCACACACACAGACACGTACGATAAGCCCTGGATTTGGCAGTGATTTTTGTGAAATGTGTCCAGAGGCAACCTCTTGACCTTTGGTATTTTCCAATTTAGGTTCCCATTTCCAGGGAAGGTTAAGCTTGAATATCCGCACTGGGCAAGTGGGCAGTGCCCAACCCCCTGTGACAATTCCTGTTTTCATGCGGGTTATAATGAGGGTGTTGGACGTGTCAGGCACCGTCAAGTGAGTCGTGTCAGGCTGGGCTGCGCCTGAAGTCGGAGGATTTCTCCTGGATGGGCAGCAGCGGGGAGAGCGCCCGCGTGCTGCTGCCCTGGTTCATCGACTGCGTGGTGGAGGCCCTGCGAACCTTTGGAGACTAAAGCTTCCTTGGGAGCGAAAAGCGGGAAGCCCAAACTTAACTTCAAGGATCTTTCTCACTTCCTGGACGTTAAACATTTTGGAGTCATTTTGGTGGGGAGGTCTGGACCTTTTCTGGCCAAGGACTTGGATCGCATGTGCCAAGCCAATGGTTCCCCCGACCTTGCAGGCCGTGGCGGCAGCGTCTCAGCGGCAAAAGGCACAGGAGGACTCAACCCGACGGAACTTTCAGACGAAGCCATGACCGCGACCGTCGGGTTGACTATTGATTTGTAGATTCTACTTGTATTCCTGTTGCCAGAATGTGTCTTCTTCTTTTGACTGTAAAACAGATGGGGCAGCGTGGAGCTAACTGAATTCTAAATCCTTGAATGGCTTCTTGGTCTTAACGAACATGCAACGACTCAAACATATGCATGTGCTTGCCCTACTCAGTCTCGGCAGCTTTCTCATCGACTTAGAATCATTGCCGTTTGACCACAAGTTGCTTCACCAAAGCGGCCTCCGATTTCCTTTGGTGCATTGGCCTACGACTTGCTGGCTTGATGGTTGGCGTATCGGCGCCAGGACGCGTCGCTTCCCTTTACCCTGTGGAAGCGCCTGGACTTCCAGACGGTGGAGTCCCTGCTGGCGCCTGGTTCACAAAGGGCAGGTGGTCAGGTTTCATACAAAGCCGTTTGTCAAGACATTCGGTTTGCAACTGATTACATTTCGCACACGTTGAACTAGACATGTTTTGCATGCTTTTAGTCAGTTTGCAGTGAAGCAAAGCAGCCAAAGCTTGATCAAGTAGGGAGGTGGGTTTTCTTTCACAAGCTCTATCCATTTCTTTTCACCTGGTTGGCATTTTGCATGTCTTTTGTCCTTAGGGTGCATAAGCTGCATGCAGTGCTTTCGGAACGCAGAGCCAGCCGAGAGCCGTTTGGCACAAGACCCTCTCAGGACAGCTGCCGCGCCTTGGGCGGCGAGGAGCTCGCTGCTGCGGTGCAGGGCGCAGCTGCGCCGCAGGCTTCCGGGGGCTCGGTGTTAGTTTTTCAGCCGCATGGTTTGTTGGGTCTATCTTGGGAGTCGATCAACGCATCGGATGGATCTGTGAGCCTGGGGATTGCCCTGTGGACTCTTGGCAAACATGATTAGACCGCTTTGTCCCAAAACGGGGAGTCGATCAAAAGCAAAGCCTCAAATGACCCAGGTCCGTCAGTCTATGAGGCGGCACGCCCCAGCAGCAAACGATCCCTACCGCAAAGGGGCACGCAACCTTTTGATCAAGATTTACCTTCTGAATTTTGAGTACCCCTGCCTGGCGGCCAAGCAAGTTTGGGGCCGGGGGGGGGGGGGGGGGGTTTTGCTACAATGCTTGCACCAATTCTTACCGACACCGGATATTTTGGCCGCTCTCTTCTTTTCCCAACTGCAAGACCCTGCACCGAGCAAGTCATCCCGAATACCACCCCTCACGTGCAATGATTCAACTATGCAACAACGGACTGACCAAAATTAATAAGGGTCACCGCCTTCTAGCCCTGGCAATTAAGAACAACATGCAAGCTTTGAGTGATCCTGGAATATGTTCTTGTCAACCAGATTCCGGATATATCCCAAGATACGTTGTATAGAACACGGCTCCCTGATTCTCGACATTGAAAGTTGAGCATCCGCAGGCGTTGGCGTTTTGGAGAACGATAACATAATGCTGTACTCAAAATGCCGCACTGTGTGTTTCGGCACATTTTGTCCATGCATGGGCAGCACACATAGGGCAACTCGGGGGGCAATGTTGGGATGACTATCAGCGAGACATGTGGCCAACCATCGCATGAATCCAGACGGCTGCTACCCACTACCTGATTTACGAGTTTTCGTGGATCAAGGAGCAATACGATGAGCGCTGGTGAAAGCCTCTTGGGTTACCTCAAAACTGAGAAGAGGTCGGTGAGTGCGCAGATGAAAGGAATCTGAGTGCGCAGATGCAGATGACCCCCTGCCCATCAAAACCCCTGGCACCTGGTAATCAAAACCCTTCTTAATTCTTTACATGGTTCTAGGGTCTCTTTCAGGGTCGTTCCATCTTAATGTTTCTTGATTTGTTTCCCTTCTGGGATTACGACCATTTTAGTACCGGGTTTTGATTGTGACTCGTGGGACCTGGCAATCAATGGGTTCGCACTGTTCTTCTTTTTTTTCAACGACACCCCCAATGCCCCAACCAACCCCGCGCGAGGTGAGCGAGCCGCGGAGCCTGCGGCAGCTCACGCGGGAGCTGTCCACCAGCTGCGTCTCGGAATCGGACTCATGAAATCCACAGGCAATGGGTTTATCAACCGTTGGTGCGATTGGTAGGGGTCATTCATGGCCAGTTTGTGCAATTCATGACCAATGTTTGTCATTCATGGCCAATTTTTGCCATTCATGCCAACTTGTGCGAGGTGGATTCTGTCCACTGCACGAGTCACTGACAATAATTGGCTGTGAGTCTATTGTTGGGAGGACAGAAGGGAGACAACCCAAGTTTCCGCCCCAAGTTTTATCACGCTGCCCAGCTGATCGTTATGAGTCCAGACTTTGTTTGGGGATGGAGCCATTCTAAGCCCTTGGCCATGTACCTTTGAGGTATTGTTGGTACTGCAAGACACGAGGGCAGTGATTCGCAGTTGAGGGATACATGAAAGCCTTCTCGGGGGCAGCGACCTGACCCAAACAGGGCTTTCCAAGTTACACATGCGTTTCTGGGTATATATATATATATATATATATCCAAACTGGTTTGATTTGTGGTCACCGTGTTTTGGGTTGCTCATGATGATAGACATTGCTAGAATCCTTGGTTAATTGAGCTGCAGCAAGATCCAAAGCGGCGGTTTTTGGAACTGGAGCCCTCCAGTTATATTAGATTCTAAGCATGTGGCTTGTTTACGTGGCAATGAACACCAAGTGGCTTTCCTCGGGTTGTTTGCCATGCACATGAACTGGGAACCAACCGAAACCACCGAGGCCAGTTGTCATGACCAGGGAACGAGGCCATGTATCCCGAGCCATGACCGGGTTTGGAGTGAGCACATTGCGTTGGCAGAACAATTATTGCATCTGGCCTTGAGGGTTCCTTTGGTAGTTTCATACTAGGATTTAAACCAAGACACGGCCAGCTTGCTCTGTGCCATGCGTTTGAGGCGCCCGGCTGTTGGATTTCGAAAGCCTGGAGGATTTCGACACACCGGCGGCTTGGCCATGCCCAAAAGGTGTCTTCCGAGGGCGCTGGGACTCCAAGGAAGCCTTGGATCGCTAGGGCCTCTCAGTTCTTTGTCCAAATGAGAGTTGAACAGAGAATGGCGGGCCCGCTGGAACATGTACACATAGCCCATTGCGGTGGATCGCATCTAAGAATCTAAAACATGTGTACCAGTAGCTCAAAAAGTCGAGAGCTGCCTTGAGCCAAGCCTGAAGCCCGAATCGTGGTCAAGTACTTGCTGGGCCATCCTTGGGCCAAGAGTTCTCAGAGTGGCTTAGAAATGGATAAAGCGTCTATGCCGCGAACGGTATCTGGCAGCAGGTCATGACTGCGTCAGTGCTGTGCAGTTGCGACACAGACATGGATTTGGAGATATCCAGGGTCACAGCCATAGAGTCTTGAGATTGCCCTCAGCTTAGGTGTGCATGCAGTACCCACTTGTTCTTGTTTGGACCCAGATATCAAGACACTTTTTGCATCCCGGCATCACTAGGAGTTAGCGTGTCGCTGACTTGTTTGTCCCAGCCATCCTGAACAAGCCACAGCATGTTCTGCATGTCGCTTGCCTGGTCAGCGAATCCAGTTTCTGAAGGTGTGGCCCTCACCTTCAAACGGTGCCAACCTTTTGAAACGGTTGGAACGGACCTGCGCCAAGTTCACGTTGGATGTCTTGCTTTTTGGTCGCTCCGCGTCCGGATGGATGTCCTTACTATGACTTTCAGAATTTGCAATGTTTAGATGCCCCCGGGCAATGAGAATTGATCACATAATTCCACATGCGGGGGGGCGGGGTTGCTTGTAGAATCCTTGACCTCACGACAAAGCAACCCTCTATGAAAGGACTTATGGAGGACTTGTTTGTTTTTTATTGCCATTGCTGTATTACGTTCCCAAAACAAGCAAAGCCACCTCTGCAAATCTCCAACAAATCTATTTACTAGTTCAGTAAGAGGATCTTTGAACTTGCCTGAAACCTCTGCCAGGGGTCCTTATATTTCCGTGTCTGGGTAGTTCAGATATTTTTGGCTTTTCCAGTGGTTTTTTCTCTTTGGTGGGGCGATGTTTGAGAGGGGGAAGAAGGAACAGTTGTTTTCTGCCCGAATGGCCCCGCTTTGTTGGGAGCTGCAACGGTCAGCACGATGTGAGTCGTTTTGGGCACCTCCTTTTGGTTTAATAGGGAAACCAACAGCTATATATATATACATATATATATATATATATATTGTCCAGTGTCTCTGGTCCCCCCCCCGCCCCATACCATGGGGGGTGGGGATGGGGACCGTAAGTTTCTGGTCACGAGACCACATATAAATACACCTTTGGGGGGGAGGGGGAGGCGATCCCCCACCTGAGGTGCATTTGCCGAAGTCGGTGAGCGGAGGGTCGCGGATCTGAGCAGCCGGGCAGTTGGGGACACACAGCCTTCAAGCCAACTGAAGCTTAAAGACCTCGGCGACTGTCATACGAGAACTGCAACTAAAATGCTCCAGAGAAACGTGGTAAAGATTCCTTGTTTTGGAGAGTGCTTATTCTACTTGTTGTTTGAATTGCAAGCACTTTGGGCAGAGGATTCCTGCCATGCTAGCAAACAACTGGCCGGATGAATTTGTGTTGCTGGTTTGCGGCATGCCAGCCGTTCAAGCTGAAGCCTTCTAAAGCAGCCTGTTCTGACATACATGTATTTGCGCAATAGTGTGCAACAAGAGGGAAGGTACTATAGGTATGAAATATCGTGGGTACAAAACAACCGAGCGTCAACTGCAGATCAGACAGATACCCATGCATGACGATTCGCTTGTGAAAGGTGTGAACCACATGATGATCGACAGGATATTGGCTCGTTCCAGGAGTGCTTGAACCTGTGAGCTTTCAGGCGAGTTCCCAGATGTGATCCAGAGGCACGTTTGTGAGCCCCCTACCGCCCAGGGGGGAGAACAGGAACGAAGCGTCGCTCGGACAGGCAAACAGCACGTGGATCGACCAGCTCCTTTCGGTTTCTGTTTCATCATCGGGAGGCTTTGGTAGGAACCAATGGAACTTGGGGGGGATCACTCTGTTGTGGCCAGCCTGGCTCTTTAGGTGGCTCATCTTTGTCATTGCTGCAGAAAGTCTGTCCATCCGCGGAACAGCATTTGTGGAATGCAATGCGCTCTTGCGCCTGATCAAGCAACCGTCGGATGGCAAGTTCTCCGATTTGAGAATGCGACGGGGGATGGGCTTGGTCAGGCGGGTGCAATTTTCCATGGGCCGTTCTGGCCCTCTGCGCTGCTCCAGCAAAGACAGATCCAGAGGCTCTGGGGTTGGTGAGGGCCAACGGTCATGATAGACTGTCCGTGTCCAACCCAAGTGCCTTTGAATACAGTACAGCGTGGGTGCAACCCGTTGGCAAGGGGCCTAGCGCGTACCATAGCCATCTATTGTACAGGGGCTAAGCGCCAAGTTGGTGTGAGAGATGCCGGCGATGCCTCTTTTGCTGCCGAAAGAGAGAGCGAGACAGAGAGAGAGAGAGAGAGAGAGAGAGAGAGAGAAAGAGAGAGAGATAGAGAGAGAGAGGGAGTGTTCCACGGCAGAACACTGAGTCTTCAGCAATGCATTTGCTTGCCCATGAGGGGCTTCGGTTGTTTATTTGTTTGTTTCTTTACTTGTCTGTTTGTGTCTTGTTTGTGTGCGTGTGACATGTGCGTGCGTGGGTTCGTTCTGCTTCACAAAGCGAGCTTTCCACACTCTCTGGCAGCCTCGCAAGGCGCGTCGGCAGGTCCCTGCCGGGGCATTTCAGGCTCTCGGCATATCCTTTTGAGAAGCCAAGCACTTGGAAGGCTCTCGACAGGTCCGTGTTGGATGCATGAGCAAGGGTCAGAAGTCGTCTACCCTCTTTCCAAGAATCACGGAAGTGGAGGGGGAAGCCCCAAAAGGAAAGTAGTCTCTCAAAGCCCTTTTGTCAGTCCATGATTGTTGAAGGTTGCAAAGATCACAACTTCTCTGAGGCAACATGAGGAAATCAAGATGGGCAGATGGAAGTGCTATACACAGAATTGGGGCAATGCGTTCACGGAAAACTTGAGAAGTTGGATTACGTGCCCAAAGCCCCACAACCAGGCAGTAATATGGCTGTGGGTCAAAATTAGATACCCAACATGGAGCCCTGGTAAACGGAAACAAAGACTAACACCTGCGGTCCCCTGCTGTATAATTTTGACACATACCCATATGGTGTCATCATGATATTACATTATACATGTCCAATCAATAAAGTTTCGAGAGTCATTCGATTCGGCGACAGTTTGCATGTTTGCACCCTTCCAACTGCTGGCGGGTATCGGCTTGTTGTCGTAGGTAGCGCGTCATGCGCAGCGAGCAAAGGTGCGATAGCGAGTTGCAAAGCGGCAGGTTGACATTTGAACAAGACCAGATAGAACTGGCTAACTGGCTGGTTGTGGAAAACTTGATGTCGCTGACTGCTTGTTGTTTGAGTCTGTCACCTGCCCAAAGCACAACTCCAAACCACAATGTGCTTTTTTTTCCTGTCTGACGGCTGAGAAGGTGGCTGGACCAGGGGTTGAGTTTGGATGCGTCTGCGGATTTGCTGCGACCTGTGGCGGCTTGTAGAGGATCTGCAGTCATCCGAATCGCTGGTTTCAGCTGGCCAGTCCATAGGCATGCGGAATTTTCCTCCAGGGATTTTTTTGGCCTGCTTCCCGACTGGGTCGGAGAAGTTTCTCCAGCCCGCTGTACAAAGTAGGTCCTTTGCTGCGGTCAAGTCCACAGCAAGGCCCAGGGTTGAGGCTAGGCTTCCGTTTCTCCGCCTTTTCGTGGCGAATGTGGGGATTTGGACGCGGGGTGTCGGGGGCCGCCCGTGGGGAATCATTCCTTGGACATCTGGCGGAGATCGCTGTGGCATCCCAGACCCGGAGGGATCTGGTTTCCGCTTTTGAAGACGCCAACCTTGCAGGCAACGAAGTACCGGCCTGCCGCAGCATCCGTCAGCAAAGCGGAAAGCGGTGCGCGTTTTTTCGGACATGTGGGAAATTCGGCTCACATGCCGGCGAGGGCACTTGAAGGGACAAACTCAT